CTATCAAGGATGAGACAACATAGGGATCATTGTGCTAGTTATGCTCATGGCATTCATTCTTGTCATTAAAAATTCTTATTGAAGTTGTATTAGCAATGTTCTTGTGATGACTCTTTTTTTTTTTTTCTCCTCTCTGACATTTGACTATGTTGGGCATTTTAAAGGCCAGGTCCTGACTTTATTAAGTTTATTGGACGAACCGGGGCTTGGACTGAGCTCTCGCTTCTCTTCCCCTGTTGTTGAGAAGTACCCCATGATGTGCAGCTGTCTACCACTGGCAGACACTTGATTTCCAGAATAACTCGAGGTCTCGGTTGAAATAACTGTTGAGTAGGGCACAATTCTGCCAGGTTTGTGTAACTCTGAAATACAACATTTTCCCCTTTTGAGTCTTTTATTTTCCTTTCACCAGACACTTATTGAAAGGGCATTTTAAAAGCTTTTTTTATTTTTTACTTGATGTATTTCCAATGGAAACTGGAGACGTGTCTGCCTATATAACAGGGTTATTTCTTCCGAGTTGGCTCCTCATTTGATGTAATAATCTGCAATTTTATTTTTATGAGAACAACCCATTTTGCTACTGAAGTGCAAGTTGATAAACTGTAATAGTGATTCATGAAAGCTTTTCAATATGTATTCAACAGGTAGAGCTTTTCTGAGAAAATTCATGATGCAGTTTGTATTTACACCACAATGACGACTGTTTATCAGCCTAATACAAAAAGGGGGAATATTTACTGTTCCTATTTATATGGATACTCATACAAATAATCAGGCCAATGTAAAAAGAAAGAAATGCAGTCTCCACATGAATCCATCATGTGAAAACACCAATGGCTGTTGTTGGATGATGATAAAGGTTGAAGGATGTCACTTGCAATCTCACTCTGGAGTGTGCATGGCACACAGAAGACATGGCAATTTACAAAATGAACACCCATCATTAGGCATTGATTATCATGATATGATGAACAGTCAAAACTGACTGATAGCAGCAAATTCTCCCCGTATGTGTTTGTAGGTAAGCGTGCGCTCAGTTTGCGAGCCAACAGGGGACATTTTGGAGGTCCAGTGTTGCATTAACTCCTGCTCTCTGGTGAATTTACATTAATTGTGGCCAAAAGGGGACCTGAAAATGTGTGAGTGTTAAAGTTCAAACTCAGCACTGCCTTTGCAGGCTGAAGAAGGGACTCTTAACGACTCGCTAACACAAGTTGTTTTGTTCAGACTGCTCCATTGGGTGCATGGCCTTCAGCCCCCAGCAGGCCTTCAGACTACAGTGGGGCCATTTAACAGGCTACATTCAAAAATAATCAGTATTCTAAAACATGACGTTTTTGTAAAAGAGAATGATTCGTCTCAACTTTAGTGGATGTCCCAACTAGTTTCAGACCTCACATTGTGTCAAAATAAAAGGGCAACTAAGAAGGCGGGGGAATAAATAAAATTATAAAATCTAAAAGAAAAGAGGAAATAAAAACAATCGGGATGAGAGAAATATATGAGTCAGCAGTAAGATCATCTCTTTTCATTTTAAATGAATCACTCAAAATACATCTAACATCAGACTTTTCCCTCGAGCTTAAAACATTTTAGTCTAAATAAAGTCCCAAAGCAGGGTTACTCGAATTTACTCCAATCTACTCCAACAGGAATGCAATTTCTCTGTTGATGCACATAATATAAAAAAAGGTCCACAATTTAACTGTTCAGAATAACAGCGTTCCCCTGTCTGCTAGTACATAACGACAAGTTTCCTCTCAGACAGCCTGAAGCGACATTCACTCCATTATGGATAAATAAAAAAGGATGTAAACGGTGTGTGAGAAGGATGTAAATAGTCTGCGAGTGTGATGTTGCATTTAACAGGGTGATGGCACTCAGTAGACAAATTACTAAAAACGACCCCGTTTCCAAACACATTGCATCAGTGGCTCCATTGGCCCAACCTGCACATCCGTTAAGTTGAAAACGCATGACGAGGGGCGGAGCGGGGAGGGGGTTTCAGGTTTTTAAAATACCTTCAACTTTGTGTCATTTCCACTCAGCGTCTCTGACTGGATCAGCAAATCAATGGACCAAAAGTTATTTTACTGCCATATATGTCCACTCTAATATTGTGTACTCCAGCATACTATAACAAAAATAGGTTTCAAGATTAGTAATGTTGTTTATGCCAAATTCCTACCCTGCTTATGCAGGCCTATGATATGTAACGTAATGATAGTAACCTCAAACAAGTGTTCCCTCTTTTTAGGTGGCAGGAGTGAAAATTCGTCATCCTCAACATTTGTTCTGTTAGGGTCCTCAGAATGATGAAGACAGCTGGATAACCATTACATACAAATAGGATGTAGGCTCTACAGGATCATTTTATGTTTACACCTAAATGTTGTGCAGATTTTTAGACTTTCTAGTATCAAATGGCTTGGAAAACAGTGCATATAGCTGTCGTAAAGGGGGGGGGGGGGGACATCTTGCTCCACCTCTGCACATCACATGATTCAATCTACGGTGGAGCACCTTACTGAGACACTTTGTGTTATAGTTGTTTTTTTTCCAATTTGACCCCCATTGTTGTTATGCCTCTGTGGAATAAATACAAGTTTGATGGGAGTGTTCGAAGCAGAAAGTGGTTATACTCATACGTCACTGCTCAATCTTGTTTGCACTCACTGTGTCTGGATTTTGGTTTTTAAACCCTGGCACGCACACACACACACACACACACACTCACACACACTCACCACACGAACATCTTTTTGGCTGTTGCAAAATATTGTCTACTGCTGCGAGGCATGAATAAACAAAGAAGAATCAGAATGGAGTCAATTGCAGACTGGTATAAAATATTTTCTTTAACAGTAAAAACACTTCATGTTTACCTCCTTTCAAGTGTCACTCAGCCTGTGAGAACTCAGCCTTTCGCATTTCTCTCAATTTTGACTGCCTGCATGCTATTTCAAGTGGGAGAAGTCTGAGTTTCTGCATGTGGTGCTCTTCCCTCTTCTTTTTTTTTATTTCAGCTATGGCGGCTGCCGCTGCCCACACATGCACACAGATCTTCTCCGTCTAACATACAAGGAGTGACATAATGACAACCAAGAGTATCTGTTTGAGATCTCGAATTCCCAACACCAACAGTACTTTATGTAGCCTGACACACCAGCGTGACATCTTAAAATAGTTTTGCCTGCAGCAGTTAGTTAATGAAAAGCAAAAGCGGGAACGTAACTCACACGATACGACACACATAACCCGGAATAATCTTTGGGGAAAAAAACACTGATCTTTTTAAAAGGCAAGTTACATGCCAGTCATTCATTGAAGCCACCCTCTTACTGTTAAACTTGATGGTTCATGCATGATGTAAATTTTGATTGAGTGAATTCAATTTTTTTTTTTCTTTTTGTTGTGAAAACACCAAAGATTTTTTTACAACAGGGTTTTATTTCTTTTCTCTGGCTCTTATTTTCTTGATTGATTTGATTTGCAATGGTTCAGCAGTAGATATGACGCTCTCTGAGGTGGAACGGCGAGAGCTACACCTTTTTTGAGTTAACTGATTATTGTTTCACCAGTAGCAGCTGCAATAACTGGCTGAGCAAGCAGAGGGCACACTGTCGATAATGGTAATCTGACTCCAGTGCTTTCATGAATTTTCCACTACATGTAATATGTTTAACACAGATACTGAAGGAGCGTGTCTGCTCTCACAGATCAGACAGGATATATGGAAGCGCTTTCGAACACTGTCAGTACTGTGTAACTGCGTTGATACCAGAGGCCCCTGTGAATCAAGTTTAGCTGCTTTTTATGTAGATAATATGTTATGTCGTCATGGTTGATCTGCAATAAGTCACCCGTTAAGATGTTGACCCCGCCTGCCTTTCTGCTGACAATTCTTCTATTTACTGCACCCCAAATAAATTGCAGGAAACTTGAACAAGAGGAAGTGTTTTGAGAAGAACACACTCATTAAACAATGCTAAGATTTAGAGAAAGTTATCCAAACAGGGAAAAAATCATTGCAATGAAAAATGTCTTTAAGAGAGTCCTTGTCATTATTATCATTATAACATATTTGTAGTGAGTAAAAAATGTTTTTTTTATAGTATATGAAAGTTCTGCAACACTTGATATGTATTGTGTCAAGTGTTTCAAGTGAAGCACAGAAAACCTCATTTTTCTTCTGCCCCACGCAGTCCTGGTTCTGGTTCTCCCATTCCCCATCTTCCTCCAGCGGGCCCAGAAGTACAGTATGGCCATGTTCTCCAGCAGCGGAGTGTCTTGTTGGACCAGCGCTCTCTTCCTCCCGCCAGAGCTCCTACTGCAGGTCGAAGGCAGCAGCAGCAAAGCAGAATCTGGGTCTGGGCTTGTCACTGGCAGAGGCCCTGCTAGAGTCTGAGCTGAAGGGGTGTTACGCCTGGGTGCTACTTCAGGCCCCCTACTGTGTTGAGCTCTTAACTTGATCAAATGCCAACTGTGTGTCATTCCTTCCAGTCTGAATGCAAATGCCCTCTTCCAGCCTTTTGTTACCACTTGTAATTACATTATGTCTGATCATGGTCTCCCCTTACCTTTTTGTTTTCTACTATTCACATACAGTCTAGACACGGCTTTGGCTTACTGTGTACAATCTGTGTACAATGCTTCCTTTTCATTTGCTTTTGGTCAACTCACTCAACTTCTGAACCGCATGATTTTGTCTGATTTCGCCAAAATCGGATTCAATTGCACTGATGACAAGCATTAAGAATAAGTAGTTAATGTTCTCGCTGATGGTGTCGTTTAATTATGCAGGTCATATAGAGGTTTCCTAACCCGTTAAAAGTTCCCCATTGAAACTTAATATATCTTTATCTGACTAATAAAACATACTGGACAACATGTATTATATTTAACATATGCCCTGATGATCATGATATCTGATTCAGTAAAGACCTACTGTTGTTAAATATTTCCTTGTTAATGACACAAAAAAGCAGTTGTTTAAAATGTTCATCATTTATTCAACACTAGCTTTTAACTTGTTGGACTCAATTTCAATGAAGAAACATTCACATCTGGATTATGTTTTGGAAACAAAATGTACATATCATTGACCTTACAAAAAGACTTACAGGGTAAAAGTATTTAAACATATAAAATAAATACAAAGATACATTCCCATGAATCATACACCACCTTTAACATGATATAAAGCAGTGTAGCACAGGCAATGCATTGGAGAAAGAGGCCAAGAAAAGGTGATTTTTTTTTTTTTTCGGGTAAGACAAAAAAAAACGTTATAAATTAATATTGCGTGGTTGTTGCGGGAGTCCTCAGAACTTGCAGCAGAAGCCGCAGCCCTTGTAGGCTCTGCAGCAGTTGCAGCACCAGCGACACATGGAGATGTGGCTCTGGCGCTTCTGCCTGATGTGATCCGGCATCTGTGCGAAAGACAAGAGACATGAGCAAGAGCGTTCATCTCCGGCATTTCATCCCCTCCTTGTGTGGCGGGAGCACCGCGGGCACTCCGTGGAGAATACACATCCACTTAAATTTTAATTTGCTGAAGGTAATTGGCTTAATTCATTCAGTCAATTGAACATACCATCTTCGATTCCATTGACATTTCTTGATATGCCGCAACTGGAGTGTCATTGCTCCCTGCCTCCTCCAGCTCTTGCACCTGTTAATGAATTATGCACATTTAGGAAGCCACATTTTCACACCCTGAGAAAACATTTATCGCTAATAAGCGGATGGAGTGAGTTTAAGTCAAATTCTTACCCCGGTGAATGGGACGGCAGAGCTCTCCAGCATGCAAATAAAGGCGAGCACGAGTGTCACTGCAACTGCAATGCTGAATGCCTTCATTTTAGGGGTGGGGGGGGAAGTTAAAACGATTTAGTTATTAAATCCTTTGAAGGTTAGAGTCGATAGGTCTTCTGTCTCATTGGTGTGGGGCCACCGAAGAGCACTACAATATCTTCAATGTGTTCTCTTTAGCTTCAGTGACGGATGTTGATTGTCTGGGCAGGTGGATTTCTTCAGATATTTGGAGGCTCTTGTCAGCTCTTTAGAGTCCTTCTGCTGTCTGATGGTTGAGAATGCATTCTGGTATTTATACACACTTGGGCTCAGTGTTGCCACATCCCTCCAGGAGGCCCTGCCCATTCCTGGCAGCAGTTACCTCACTCCACTGGGGAAGTTTTGCCCTCCTCCTCTCTTCTCTCCATTGTGCTGCAACACTGGGGGGGGAATCTGATCTATTTTTGAGTGTGGGCCCCACTGTCCATTCAGCAATATCAAATCAAAAATGAACTTTTGAATTAAATTACTTTCCGCTGAGAGAACACATACTGTAATTCCACACATGAACAAGCTGCTGCTGCTGCTGGAGACTGTCATTTTTTACAATATATGGGAGCAATATGTACTCTGTAGTGTCGCAGAGCTTCATCTAAAAATGTGAACAAGCTGGAAAGAGCGCTGGAGATTCCCACAGCAAAGGTCAAGACTGCACGGGTCAATGTATTGCACGGCTGACTGAGCCGCACATTTTTTTTTTTCGACCCAGGAAATCCTTCACTAAGGAGAGGGAGCCACTTTGGAATATCCATTGCTTAGTCTAAAGGATGTAATTACAACCTCTCAAATGGAATAATTAGCCCCTCATTTTCAACACATTCAGTTTTTGCATAATACACAGGAACCTGCAGTTGAACCAAATTAAATCCCTTTGAGAGCGGTCGGGAATAGTAGCCAGGATTAAAATCCTCCATTTGAGAGTCAAGGTGTTTCAATATGCATTTGTTAAAGATGAATATAATGTGATCTGATGAGGTTTATTATGTATGGAAGGCGTTAAGTTGCATTGCTCCAGGCATTTTACCCCACAACTTAACAAATCTGCTGTTTATCATGACTATGTGACACAATCTTTCTTTGGTGTTTGTATCCCAACATGCCGGCAATAAATAACAAAGGACAGCTGCTTTTGTTCCATTAAAACACAATTAGTAATTTCCCAACACACAGCATGCTAACAGGTTAATAGATATTTCAAACTGTGTGGATTTAATGACAATGTCATAATAATAACCCCGATTGTTAACAATGGCGTGGAAAAACCACAACCCTAAGAATGGTATGAATCATTTTACCCTCTTATCACTGAAGCAGCGATAAAAACCTTAAGATTAATTAGCCTGTCAGAGAGAGAGAACTATTCCACAACGGCATCAGGCTGTGAATAGTACGAAAATCAATAAATGTGGAAATGAAATAACAAAAAACAGGCAAAATAAAAGGTGCAAACTGATAAACGGGAGGCTGTGTGAGCTGATAAAATCAGGGGCCATTTGAATTCTCATTATACCGTCAAAGTGTCTCCAAATTGCCCGTGCTGACTCAATTAGTGAAACAACATGTGGCGGGACCCCTGCGTCAGTCTGTCTCGTTCACTGATAACCCTGCTGGCCCGCGTGCTTGCTTTGGGTGACCACAACATCAGTGTCAACAAATACAACCACGAATGGCTCCACATCTGTTGGAATCTACCCAGGCTTGTGTAATAAGAAGCGAGAGCATCACACTCTCTGTAGTTCACGCATTTCACCTTGTTTTATTGTGCCTGCGTTTTTGTGTGTGACTAGGGACAGAAACGGGCTCTGGCCCACTACTTGAACTAGCACACCGTGTCGAATCAAGATGAACACTTTGTCATTTTGTTTGCCATGCATCGCTAGGCATGACTCAGCTCATGAGGAATCTGAATATCACACTGGTTGACTGTACCATGCAGCAACAAACAAATCACATCCAGGTTCACTGTGAGTGTGAGCTTATGTGAGAAGATGGAAACAAGAAACAAGTTCACTTAAAAAAAACAAAAGTTATAGGGTAAAAAAATAGATTTTTATTTCTGGGTTTTCCAAGTACTGTAGTTTGGGCGGTGTTTTCCTGAGCATGCGTGTCACTGATCAGTCACTGAGGCTATCGGTAGGGATCTTCTGGCCAAACAAAGTCAGGCACCAGCATGGCGGACAGATTCACCTCAGTAGGCGCCACTCTACCTTTCCTTCCCGGTCGAGGGCATTGCTCCCGTCTGTCCCTGTTACATCATCGCTCTCTGTTCCTGCCCCCGTCCATTTCTCACCCCCCTCCTCTTTGTCCCCACCTGCTTTGTATGGAGCTGTGAGAGACTCCACAAATCCAGCTCATCTTCTCTCTGCTTATCTGCTATACCCACAACTCTCTTCGCCCCCAAAACACAGCCAGGGTGTCGCCCCGAGTGTTTACATCTTTCCTCAAAACTAGGACAGGAAAGAACCAGCGTTGGTATGACATAAACATGTCAATTTGTAAATAAACATGGGAAGTTTCAATAGTTATGGCCTCCTGACTGTCACAGCGTTACACAAATGCAGTGTCACTTTTCAGACTCAGGGGGCAGGATGGAGCTCAGGTTGATGGGCTTCTGCATTCTGAGAATGGTGACTGTGGGTAATTCCCCATTTTGTGTGGAATTAGAAGCATGTTGCAATATATGACTGGGATTTCCAACAGTGTCAATCTTAATGGCATTCAAGAATAAGCCGAAATTCCCTTACAAATAGTATTAATAATAACAGGATTATACCATATTTATGTGGTTATTTTTCATAAAAAGAATGTAGCTCAAAGTGCTTTCCAATAAGGAGTCAAGAAAAACGCACACAATAAATCGACTACAGAATTACATTGGAAAAAGTTATAAAATGAACATCAAGGGTCAAGGCCCTGTCCATGTTCCTGGTTCAAAGTCTGAGAGGTGACCCTTCCCGTCTCTCTCTCTCTCCCCTCTCTATACTGTCAGAATCTCTGAAGGCAAAACAATTCCCCAAAACACACTGAACAGAGAGGACAAAGAAAACATCTCATGGCAAAATACTAGTAGCTTTCCACAGCACAGTGAAAATAAAGATGGAAATAGTGTGAAAAATTGACAAAGACCAGAGAAAATCCATTCAAAGATTTTTATACAATCACAATATCTTTTTAAACAGTTACAGGGAGCTGGTGCTGTTGGTTAAAACCAGAGTGATAATACACGCTCTTTCTTTAAGCTTTAGTTAGCGGTCTAACAGCACGAATGTAACGCTTGACGAGTAAAAAGTGAATGAAAACAGTAACTTACTCGGGCAGCTGCGGCTCAGTTGTCCTCTTAGCCACAAAGGCTGGCGGTTCGATCCTTCGCAGCGGTTCACTGCTCCTAATGCTTAGGATAGGTTAAACGCAAAGGTCAAATTTCATTCATGCACTTGTATGTTTGTGACGATTGTAATAATGTTTCAGTTTTCAAGATGGCACAAAGCATGAATTATAGCCTTTCGGCAACTTGCCGCCACACCATGGCAATATTCTCTTGATGTGGGATTTAAAGCTGAGATATGAGTCTTTTGCAACGGGGTAATGCATCGTCGTGTAAATGTAAAATCCCATATGGAGCTGTCTGCCTGTAGCTGGGAGAATTTGCTCTTCAATATCTATTCTAAACTGTGAGTAAAGTGTATTTTCATTTGTTTTGAGCTGCTTTACATGATGTTTTACTGCCTGAAAAGTTGTTAAACCATGGTGATGTTTTGTCAGAACCCTTCTTTGATCATCGGGCGTGAACCATTTTATGCACTGTACAAGTCTCAAATGCATCTTCAATCCAAATATTAACCATCTCAGACACTCCTGGTTGTGGTTAGAACATTTGTTTTTAAATATATACAATAACAATCAGAAACAGCGACATCTTCAACATTATCGGTGTGTCTTCTTCATTACATGAAACGTTGTCCAGGCTCTAGCCGACCACTAAACCCTTTTGATTGGTGGGTCAGCTTGATCCAAGGCCACGGATCCTCCAGTCCAGTGTTGATTTCAGCTGCTTTACATAAAAAAGGTTTTTTACCGACTGTAAAGGTGTTCAGTCGTATAGTGGTATATTTACACATCACTCTTTTAGATCATTGTTTAGTGTTAATCTGGTTGTTATACAGGGAATCAACCATTCACTGTACTGAACAGGCCTCATTGACATAAATAAGAATGACAGTGAGCGTAACATCTAAGATCTGATTCTGACCTGACTCATCCGATGTTCCTATTTATGGCTCAGGAAGACTTATATAATACTTAATAACGATCACATCACACGACAGAGTGTTTATCCTCCACAATATCATATAGAGTACTGCAGGGATGACATATTTATGTAGGCCAAGTTGATGATGATGCTGACACATTTTGTTCAGCAAGATAATCTTCACAAATGAACACCACTTTTATGATTTTTTTTGAAGCGTGAATTCAATCTGCAGACACTACAACGCTAACATTAAGCTATTTACAAAACTACATTGCGTGAGTGTGAGTACAAACAACGAGGCTGTCAAGTCCAGACTAGTCGGGGTAATGATGTTTTGTAGTCTCATTCAGCCACTTGTATAAGCAACTGCCCTTTTCAAGACACGTAAAAGCTTAAAAACAATTCACTCTTGGGGTATTTGCTGATGTCTTTGCTATATGTCGTAGAACAGAATGTTGAAAATGTCTTAAACTTGTGTGAACTACAGACCTTGTTTTAGCCATCTAACCAAAAACCCCATTCAAAAGGCCCATTGACTTTGTGACGAGGGAACCGGAAGTGCGAAAAAATACTAATTTCCAGGTTTTAGGAAGTGCTGCATTCCTACATCACTCACTGTTCACAAACATGTCTTTCAACATTATGCAAACAGAATTTTACATTTGTCAGTTGGATCAAAATACTGTAGAATCCAACAGCTCAAAAATAAATCTCAGCTGATCCTTGTGCCCCGTGTCATTACGGCAGCGACATACCTTTGTGCTGATGCTACTATGAGCGAGAGAGATGCTGTGTAGTTATTAATGTAGGAAGATGAGTCAGTGTGGCACACGAGGCATGAGGAGCATTGTATCCTTGATGAAATAAGACTATTATGTCAGCCATATATATATATTCTTTTTTTCCATCAAAAAACTACCTCCGAGAGGGGGAATGTGAAACAGGCAGTAGACAATACGTGCTCCAGCCTGAGAGCTCTGTAGCTCGAAAAGCACAAAGGTAAGACGAGCCAGCAGGACAGGAAGCTGTGCCAGCAGAATGTGTTGGCCAGCACGGGCTCAATGAAAACCAGTCGACCGTGTGCTGTGTGGTAGACGTGCCTTCACATCAAGGATTTTACAGTAGTTGGCTTTGTCCCACCCTCCAGAACAACGTGGCGACAGACATTTGCCCGATACTGACCAGACGTGGGCCGCCGTTTCAAATCCATTGCATATAATTACAGCAATAACAATTAACTCAAAGCGGAGGCACTTTCCTCTTCCAATTAATACATGAATTAATTGTAAGTGAATTATCCTCACTGAGAGGTAAAAGCGACACTCCCTGGCACGTTGCATTTGTCGGAGAAGAAATCTGCTGTGTGTCGTTTCCGGAGCTCTTCTCCAAACCGACTTCATTTCAGCCCCGCGCGGTCCTTCTTCAGTGAGCTTTTACAGGATTGGGGTGAAAGAGGCCGACAGACAGACCGAGCAGTATGTCCCAATCAGAGAAGTACGTGTTATCAGAGATCAGCCACTTCAAACAGAGACAGGAACACACAGACGCCTGCCTGGCTAGCTGAGTGTGTTTGAATGGCAGCTGATGAGCCTGGAGACTCCAGAGGGGGGGTTAGCAAGACAAAACCGAGGCAAATGCAACACACACTTCGGCCGCCTAATGAATCCTGATAGATAATGAGTCTGAGTTATAAATAGTCTTACAGGTTTGGGCACGTGCGGCACCCCAGTCTGCACTTAAAAGATTATCCAAATCACGGCTGCTCCCTCTTTAAGAGCGGCAGAATGATGCTCCAACGCCCCGACCGGCAAAGTCAAAGTCAATCTCACTGATGCGCCTTTGATCCACCATTGATCTCTCTCGCCCCAAGGTGCCCTCTGTGAGTTCTAACTAACTGGTTTGAATTTTACCAGTGTGCTGATCAATCGATTGGGGTGAACTGAAGAGCGAGTGCACCCTTTCTCCAAGGAAGCATACTCCTCCAAATGTGTTATTTTTTAAGAGAGGACATCGATCTGGAGCTGCTTAGTGAATCAAGCTGATTGGCTGAGCAGCTTTTAGAGGATACCTGCATACAATGCGTAGTGATATTAGAGCTTCGCACGATGGTGATTTGTGGTGATTTTCAGTCGCTCTGACATCTCAATGCATCATATTTCTGAAGATGAAACCCCCATCTGTTACATTTGATCCCTCAGAGTAAATGTATGAATCTAAATTTGGTGGAGTACAAGTGTGGCAGGTAATCTCAAGTAGCCCACATCAATAGGACATTTCTTGGCTCATCTAAAATGCTCTATTTTCTCAATCAGTTTCTAACAATGAGGGATGGAGTCCGACATGAACACACATGTTGTTTTTTATGCCAGTTAGAACAGTTTTGGTTGCTTTGACGGACTTGTGAGTTTGCGTTTTGGTGTGTGTGTGTTCATCTCCATTGGGAAATGATGATTCCTCGCACTTCTGTACACCAATCAGGATTTGGCATTATTTGAATCAAACTCTAATGACAGTTGGTGGGTTGTTTGCTGCCAGCACTGCTAATCAAATCTGGTCAATAAACACCCACACAGTTGTGCTGAAGCAGTTTAGCTACATTTTTCATTATTACTTAACAATAAATAGGGGTATTTTCCCCCTATACTCAAACTTTGATTGTTGCAAATGTAGTCACGACTATTTAAGGTTTTAGAGAAATGCCCAAGATGTTAAACCACGTTTTCATGGGCTTCAATATTCTATGTACCGAATTCAGTCAAGATCAAATGAGATGAGAAAATTCCAGATGGCATATTTGCTTAGATGTAAACAGGTGAGGACTACTGAAGAGTTCATCTGAAACTACAGTTTGAGTTGTGAGACAGACTGTTCAGTGAACCCCGCGTTTCATTTCACTCAAATCCATCAGTTATAATCTGTTCTCCTGCAAACAGACGGACAAACACCACTGAAAACCAACGTCATTTAAATGTTGACCTTTGTATATGTTCAAGACCTGGGGAAGGAAAATGAGCCACAACCAAAGTCCATGAAGGTTATTAGCTAGTGAGAGTTTTATTCTTCACCATTTTACTTAGAAAAGGTGTCTTAAAATCTAACCTGAGAAAAGTGAGGCTGCTACAGAAAGGGTTCTTTTTTTCTTCGTTCTTTTGCCATTCCTCAAAAAGAAACGTGAGAAAAATAAAATCAAAATCAGCCACGAGTGACCTTTTCATTTGTGAACATCCGCCTTCCAAAGCATTATTCATGTCTTCACATTCACATTCTCTGCATTGCTCTCAATGAGGTGTTGGAACAAAAAATCTACCGCATAACATCTGTCATTCAACTTTGGCGAGGAGCCTCGTTTGATAGATCAGACACTCGCACTATCCATATCAGGTTTGAATCTAGCAGTAGTAGCTGAACAGCACTCCCAAAGCCCGAGCTGTTAACTTGCAGAGTCTTGAGATATTAAAATGTGATCGTCGGCCTGATTTGTGCTCTGCTGGATCCTCGGCTGTTGACACAGGGAGAAGAGAAGCAACCGTGCTCTAATAAGTAGCTCCCAAGCTCGATGTCTCTTCTTCTGCTTCCGCTCACATCGCCCAAAGCGGAACAAAAACACATCATGTATATTCATTCACAAAAGAAATCATCAACAGTGTTAATCTTGGGGTTTTTGTACAACCAGTTTACTTATTGTTCGCCTGAGTGGGTGGAGAAATATGTGAGCTCATTTCCAGGTTTCACCACTTTCAAAGTATTCCTTCATTTCACAGAGACAGAGTTGTGCTCAACTAAGAAGCGCAACGCAGTATATTCTATAGTGAGCAGAGTGCCGCTCTCCAGGGTGCCTCCTCTCTCCGCCCCCCCCCCACCCCACGTGTGCATTGAGCTGCATTTGAAGTGTTGCAATTCCAAAATAGAGCAAACAGCTTGAAATGAAACATGTGAGGATTATTCTTACGCGTATCGAGACTCCGGTAAAATCACACACGAACAGAAGATGAAAAGGAAAAACCCCACAGTATCTAGAGATAGTTTGATAAAAGTTGGAATTTGCACCACACCCCCCCTCTCCAGTTTGTTAATCCACACTTGTACATTTCAATTTGTAATTAAAATAGCATTTCAACGGTCGGATCTTTTAAAAATGATTTTTTTTCTGGTTAAGCAAATGCCCAACAATTCAAGTCTACCACTTTCTTTTGTTTTTTTCCAAGCTTGCACACACACTTCATGGTAATTACTATGACAAAGGGCCACCATGAACTTAATGAGTTATTGATTGTTTACTCCCAGAGATAATCTGCTCTAACATTGTGTAAGATCAGTATTAAAACACAAGAAGTCTTATTTAAATAGACGAGGCCAGCGCGGCTCCTTGTTTGTCTTTGGGTCGAGGTGAGCCGCATTATTTCTGTCTGTAGTATCACAATGTTTTTCATACTTTGATGTTTTCTCACTTAAAAAAATTCAATCTGCTACTCTGGGGTGCACGAGCTGCTATGTAACCGGTCTCCATCAAGGCTTCTGCCAGCAAGCGGACTAATAAATTAAAGCAGCTAAATAAACAAACATTAAAACAGAACTGAAAAACAAAAAGAATAAAAAGCATTAACTAAATCAAAATCCCTAATTGGGGAGGGGGGGGGGAATACACTGACGCGGGGAACAAAAATGAAACGACAAACATCATAGTCCATGAGTGAGGCTGCATAAATACAAAACCAGGGAGGAGCAGAGGTTCTCTTTCAGAGCTGGTGGAGCACTGATGGCGGTGAGTGGGCATCTTCTCTACTGAGTCATAACAGGTGGTTATCTCAATAGGACGGGAACAGTCAAGTACAGCCGCAATTGGCTGTGAAGGGTTTCTCAACCTGCAAACCCAGGGAAGGCTGCATTCAAAGAGAGGGATTCTTCTCAAGTCCTTTTCTTTTTTTTAATTTTTTTTATTTCCCTCCATCATCATCTTCTTCTTCTTTCCCAGCGTGTCGGTTGTATGTCTGAGTGGTGGCGCCCCTCCCTGTTCTCTTTTGTGTGTCTCTGCTTCACTACTGCGGCGGCGTCTCTCCAACCATCTCGATGCCGTGCTGCTGGAGTTGCGCTCGCAGCAAAGCGTTCTCATTCTTCAGCTCCTCAATCTGAAGAACAATGAAGGAGAAGAAAAAAAATCTCATTATCACCGTCTTCATCTCCGTGACAGCTAAATATAGCTCCAAGTTTACAGACCAAACTTTTTTTTCCTGTTTGAAGACAGAGAGGGCTGGCTGTGTGTAATGCGCACGCACACGCACACACACACACACACACACACACACACACACACACACACACACACACACACACACACACACAGGAGCTATTCAATCCCTGGGATTATGGAGTAGTGTGTGTGCAGGCCTTTTCAAAGACACCCCTGTCCACAACCAACTGGATTATCAAATCTTGAGGTATGTCATCTCTGCTACATTTCCCTTGGGTGACTCCCGGATTCTCTGCGTCCCCCCACTGGGGCACTGAGGAGAGCGCTTTGAGCATCAGAATACGAGTCTATTGCAAAGAGCCTCGCAGGCCCGGGACTCGACGGGGAGACGTGGCAGCCTCGGAGCTGCAAGATTTCACAATACTTTTGAGCGCATTAGCATGCAGTTAGTTCTCACATAACCCCTGTGTATATTATTCCCACAGTCTCTCAAAGCGCTGATTTCAGGTAACATTATATAAGTGCAAACTCTTCTGATCCCTTTTTGTCAGGCTGTGATGATCAGCTACACAGGCTGAAGTCTCAGGGGGGGTTTGTCTTGAAGAAATGAAGATGTATACGGGAAGCTAGGTGGATTTCATGCCTCTGCGGCTCGAGTGAGAGGATGTTGCAATGCACTCCGAAGCAAACTCATCTGTTCAATGCAGGGGCAATCTTCACAGGCACACATGCAGCCCGCTGTGGCCGCCTTATTACTTATGACTCTTATTTATCCGCAACACCCGACCACCTCAAAAGGAAGATTTTCACATTATCATTCATAGACCTTCTTTACCCATTATTGAATTCCTGGAAACTTCACGTGGTGCCAATATTTGTATTTAACTGATACTCCTACCTGCTGCCTGCACAACTCATTGTCCACTTGTATCCTGTCCACTTCCTTCACACTCTCCTGCAGTCGCTGGTTGCTTTGCCTCAAGTCGCGAATGTAGTCACAGGCTTTCGACAGGATGCCCCCTTTGCTCTATGGAGGACAGAGACGAAGGGTGACCACATTAAAAACAGAAACGGCAGAGAAAGGTCGGCAGCGGTGCAGAAGAGAAGGGAGACTGCCTACTGCTCCGGTCTTGGTGCTGTCAATATTGCAGTCCGGGATGATCTTGGAAAGCGTGACAATCCAGTTGTTGATCTTGTCTCTTCTCCGCCTTTCAACTGATGGAATGTTAAATAGAAAACAGATTAAAATATGAAATATACAAAAATACAACCAGCAATTCTCCCATTTATTTTTGTTGGATTGAGAGAGCAGAGGTAGTTTGGGTTTTAATTTCTTACATTTGGTCATTTCAGCTGACGCCCTATAGGTATGAGATACTGCCTGACTTTGACAGCTTAACAGCACCCTCTAGTGGCCAGTCCACAAACATACGTTATCTATTCCTAATAGAATATTTAGACAGGGCTTGGTGATTTTCTTTCAACAAAAAAAAATGCTCCATTTAGGCGCCGCACTGCATTGTGTTACACTGATGAAATCAAAAGCCACAATCACAGCCAATTACCCACCTTCATTGTGCTGCGCTCTTCTCCTTTCATCTCTCGGTGTTCGCGGTCCGTCCATTTTCCTGCAGACAGAGAGGAAATAAAACACTTTTCACACGCTACGGTATCTCCCATCTCTGGCTGCCCTACAATCAGGCACAAGTCCAATCCAATCCCCCAAATTCGCCTAATCCTGTGCCTATTGAAAACTATTCTTCACTCTTATCTTAAATTCAAGCCTATTGTAATCACAGCTCCTGCCACTACCAGTGTGCTATTTAAAAAAAAGGAGCCTCTGAAGTCGTGCAGTGGAAATACTGAGAGATGCACAGCCTCATATGAGGCCACATATGCAGCCCCGATGTCCTGAAGCTGGGCTACTTTGACTGCAATAGTGAGACCCATCCAACCATCCTATTCTTAATGCTGCCCTCTTTCCAGGTGTGGCCTGAAGGGAGCTCTCTGCTTTATTATGCTGTAAAATTACACTGAACCCCCCCTCCCCCCCCACAGATGCCGTCTATTGGAGTCTAGGCTTATGGCTAATGACACAAACGTCTCTTGTCCGTGTCCTCCCTCAGGTATTCTGTTAATTAAGTCCCTGAGACGTGACAGGGAGACTTATCCATCCACCCACCACAGCAGGAACAGGCCAATAACACACTCGCATGTAATCATATGTCAATTAATACTTCACTCAATCTATTTATAATGAATCAACAAGCATGCACAAAAGAACAGAAAATGATGTCTCTGTTGGGAAACTATTGTTAACTATTGTTTATTGGCTGCATTTCTGCTTCCTCTGAAGTTCTAATGTCCCGTACGGTCACACTTGTTCCTCGTCTGTCCCTCTACGACACTTCTTTATTCTACAGCAGCGAGTTTGTGACCCATCAACACAACTCGACTGCCGATATCTCTGTTTGAGATAGTCAGCCAAGCCAAACTGCAGTCTCTCTTGTATCTCAACGCATCTTAATGGGATTTCAGCTGTATAATGGATTCAGTCCAACAGTACTCTTAGGCAGAGTGTTAAAAAAAAAAAAAATCAAACAAAATGTGGATGACTGTGTATGAATAACTAAATGTACGGGCCTAGAGGAACGTCTTTCCCTCCCCCCCCACTCTTTCACCAGTCATAGAGGCACACCTCATCCGAGTGCTCCTGAGAATTATTGTTGCCGGAGAAATCCAGAAAAATGAGCAGTGCACAATATCCCGCTGCCGGAGTGCTTTATCCACATCATTTAAAGCAAGGATGCGGACGAGGACTACATTTGTGTCGTCTTGAATTGATCCTCGAAAGGGAAATGAAATGGTTACTCCTTCTGCCCTCCCATCTCCCCAGGCTGCAGTGTTAAATGTACATTGAGATACAAGTGACTGCAGCTTGGGCTTGACATTCTCTCCATGCGTGTATGTGATTAAAAGTGAGCCTTAGTGACCAAACAATTATATAGAAGAGATATGATGAAACTGACAAAACACATCATTTGTCCCCGTGCTGCTGGAACTGTTACTACTACTGTAACTTATTGATCGAGTGCTGAAGGAACGCGTCTTCAGACCCAGAAATGAGCATTTGGAGACTTCTGGTTCCTTTTGTCTCAAAGTCGATTGTTTTATGGTTAGATGGCTGAAATAAAGTCTTTGGTCAACACCAGCTTCAATATAAAATATGTCTGTAGATACCCCTCTTGTGCATTATGAAGCTTTTACGTGTCTAAAGGCTAAATGAGACAATACGTTGTGTGTACTCAAGCTCATGTGACCGTGGTGTAGATCGATTATAGTCTACCGTTAGCTCGTCACTTATAACGTTTGCATTCACACTCAAAAATCCTAAAAGTGCTGTGGATTGTTGAGGATTATCTTGTTGAACAAAACATGTTGGCATCATAGAGTGTATTTTCTGCAATAATCCAAAAAAAGGAATGGGGAAATACCCTTTGGCATTTTGCCGAGGGAACCGGTGTGAAGCTCACTTCCGGATTTGGGTCCTGAAAGACGTCGTCCCTGCAGCACTCTATTCAAAACTAGGCTGAATAACTCAAACAACTACAACAGGGGACACTTTGAAAATGATACTAAAATAAAACAAGCCATTTGTTTCCAGATGGAGAACAATGACCTGATTTTAAGTCCTAGTGGAGAAACAAGTTCGCCACGAGCACGACTAACAACAGTGGATCGGGGTCAGCACTGAAGAAACATCTGGGTCTCACACATGAAGAGCAGCGAGAACCACCGGGGACTTATGGGAGGGCAGAGGTCTGTGTGCTGCTTCTCTCTTCTAACTTGATTGGTTCATTTGCAGTAAAAAGAAAAGAAAGAGAAGAGTAAGAGAAATGTGGAAGCTGTCCTCACCAGTTTAAACCTTCATGCTGCAGCAGCTCGTTTTCATCTCTGCGAACAGCAGATAGGGTGGGAAATGTTCATTTTACTCACATGTCAACGATAATGTCACTGTTCATTAGTTTACACCTAAATATAACTCTGAGGCGTGTGTCACAAGTCATACATTATTCATGAATGAGGAAATAAATGGAAACAAACATATTGCAGATAGGCATTTGCGAGAGATGAAAAAACATTTTCACTTTGTATTTCAACACATGGCGATGCAGACGCGCACCGCGCGAAGCTCGTTCGTTACTCTCGACTGGAGAGAGCGGTCGGTTGTGCGCTGTGAATATCAAGCGACATCAAAGGCGACAGAGAGCGGCTGCCAACTTTAAGGCGGATCTTCCAACTCCCCGTAATGCGGCCCACAACAGAAGGAGCCAGAATCTTTTGAGAAATCTTAAGTCCCTTGAAAATCACAGAAGCAGTCGACGTCTTCGCTGTCGAACCATACACTGTTCTATCCCCCAATAATAAATGAAAGGAGGAGGGGCGATTGTGGCTAAGTGGATAGCAGGGCCGTCTTTCGGTGGTTCGAACCCCGGCTCCGGCTCCGCTAGTCGCATGTCGATGTGTCCTTGAGCAAGACACTTAACCCCAAAATTGCTCCCGTAGCTGTGCCTACGGTGTAGAAATGTGATAGACTCTGAATTGTAAGTCGCTTTGGATAAAAGCGTCTGCTAAATGACTGTAATGTAATGTAAAGGCAGAGACAGTTAAAAGTGTCTGTCTTCTGTTCAATAAAACGATCAGAAAGAGGAGCAAAACAGGAGCTTATCTGCTTAATTGAACAACCAGAGTGAATGCGTTAGATCACTGGTCGGTGATCTGGCTCAATAACTATAAAGCAGGTCCACGTGTTAACGGTTAAGTAGAAGGAGGTGGAGGAATATTCACTTAGGTCAGTGCTAACTCTATTTGACTGAGGGTCATGTGTTCATTTTGGGTGACCATATGAGCTTTGGCTTTTACCAAATCAGGAAAAAAAACACACATAGTTCCAGGACCTTAAAGAAACGTGCATTCCTCAGCACTGTGACTCTTGTCAAGGGAACCCTGAATCTGAAATGAAGCTTGTTGGAATTAGTATCCATGGTCGACCAGAACAGGGCTGGTATCATGCAAATGAAACGACCGCTCACTTTGTCTTTGCTCACGGGAGCCTGCTGATTATCTTAATAACAGCAATCACCAGCATGTGGCTAACAGTTGGAGAGAGTCAGAGTCTTTTGATGCATGATTATAATGATGCATGTTGTGAATTGTAGAGATAAACATCAGAAGAAGATATTGGGAAAAGGGAGAAAAGCAATAAACTACAGTATCATTTCATGTCGCATGAACTGAGCCTCGCGGTAGTTTAAATAGGCGTGGAAATTGATTTATAGTATGTACATAATAATTGAGCAAACTGATTGACAGCTCGGCGGTCCATATGAACAGGATTTAGTGCTCATTCTCTCTGCTAAAGACCAAATCCTTCCACTTCCCCAGCCTTCTCCTGCATTAGCATTTAGATTCCTGGGAATTTAGCGTGCGTGTTCACTCAATATATACGTTGACGTTGATTTAAGGGTTGTATATCTGAGGCTTTGCTAGACGGGCTTCCCTGCACTGAAAGAAGTCTCTGTCAAGCTCGTGGGGATTTGTGCTGAAGCGTCACAAACTCAAATGTGTGCCGTTCTTGCAGTAAATGGTTAAAACCAGAACAAAAATGTCACATCGGAAATCATATCCAATGTAATGGCTGTGAATGGCTCTGAACGCGAGACATTAAAAAGCAATTTGTCCCATTTTTTGTGTTCCCCTTCGAGCAATTCAGAACTTGTCAGCTACAACCACCAAATGGCCTATTTCAAGTGGCATTTCCATTGAAGGTAACAACAGTGTTTTACAAGAACTGACCAGCGGTTAGTTTGTTTTCAGACATAGCTGCGTCTCACACTGCAATATCAATGCTGTCTCCTTCTCCCAGACAGCGACAGACAGAGTCGATACTCACGCAGGGTAAGGCTGTGTGCGAGGAGCGATGGTTCGTTGTGCGCCCGTCTGAATGACATCAGGGGGGGTCATCATCACATAAAACTGACCTGTGGAAGGCAGAGCAGTCATCTGTTAGCAAATGCGGAGAGAAACAAAAGGGCAATGCAGCTTAAAAGGCCGACTGCTGTTGCTACAATGAATCATCTCACGACAAATAAAGAGTGTGAGGGTCGATTTAACGATGCAATTCGCCCCCGGAGTGGCTTGATAAGCTCAAACGTTACTGGAAAAACGTTATCTGTGCTTCTTTACGTTTTGGAGTAATTCATTATCACGCTGCTCTCTGTGTCGGGTCTGAGCTCCTCCAGCTACGCTGGTTAATGAAAGTGCAATAAAAGCCAAAACTTTATCAACACACCTGTTCAACAAACGTAAAGATGTAGAAAAGTGATATTCCAATCTGCACCAGGACACTTTGATGCCGTAAAAAGGTCAAGCACTTCCCACCCCTGAACCCAGTCTTGCCAGGATGTGGTTCATTGACAGAGCTCCATGAACTACCCTCCACTACCACTCACCTCATAGGAGATGGCACTACCTAACCCACTACAGTGCAGGCTCGCAGAAAAGAGAGACAGCTGCCCACTTCCTCCTACAAGGCCCTGGCTCCAGTCATTACCCACAGCAAGGGAACCTCATGGTCTTCTTCCCTTTCTGTGGCATCATCAGGCAGAGCTGGTTTTGTGGTTTTATGCTGCAGGCACTAATGAGTGCATCATAAAAGTTATAATTGAGGGGTGTCATCTGCTAAATGGCCTTAAATAAGTACAACGTATGATGAACCAGACGATTAAATCAAGAAAATAATCTGCAAATTAATCGATAATGAAAATAATTGTAAGTTACAGCCCTTGACTTGTAGGAATAACTCAAATACGACATCAAATCAGACTGGATTACACCTGGGTCTCTAGAAGCAGGTACAGGTCTTGTTTGGGTCTCGGTTTTTATGCTGGTGCAGAGGACTAGTCTGGGCCAACAGTGCGGTAGAACGCACAGACACCAGCAGAAACACGGGGTTATTAATTACACGGCCCTCTCAAACACTGTTTAGGCGACGGTGTGTCAGAACAAGCAGATGCTGGTTGTGTATAACATGCTGCTCTCCAGGTCGACTAAGCCCTGACCACCCTCATTGACGGTCCACCAGCCTCTGCTGGATCACCACCATGAAACCGCAAGGACGCTTAAAACAGCCAGACGACATACGGCAGTAAAGAGGAAGAGAAGCAGAGTGGGTGGACATGTGACACGGGGCACACAGTAAACATGATCAGCGTAACTAACTTCATCTGGGCCTCTGATAATATCGTATTGTTACAGTATTCAGCAAAAGGAAACATCATTTATAATCTAAAGTACTTTGTGGGGTCCTACATTTTGTGGGGATATTGGTTCTTCCAGAACTTCTTGTTCTCTCATTTTGGAACTCAGTGCACTGCTGTTTGCTTTGGGGCTAATTTAGCCGTTATTTTCAGTGACACTGTGGTGAGCTTCAACCCAAATTAAGTGTGAAAACAGACTCACCCCCCGCCTGTGTGAGTGTGGGGTCCGCGGCGGCCTGCACAGACACCGTCCCGTCGCTCACCGCGGTTGCGGGGAAGTAAGCGAAGCGCGTCTCCCCTCCCACCGTCTCTCCCGCTGGGCTTCCTCCATTACTGAAAGGGTTTTGGATCACAGCCTGTGACAGATAAGATGGAGACAGAGGGGGAGGCTTCAGCAAGTAGCAATGGAGCGGTCACAGCAGGTAAAACGCACACCTCAGTCTCTGTCAGACTCAATATTGGCATCCCCGTCTAGACCCCCCACCCCCCGAGACACAGTGCAGTTTGACAGCTGGGAAGAAAAAAAAAAAAAAAAAAAAAGACGGAGCAGGGATCTTGTTAGCGGAGATAACAGCAAGGTCAGTGAAGCCATCGTAGTATTGCAAATGAAAACAAATTTGATCTGCTCTTGCAAGGATACTTGTATGTTTTTAACCAAAAACATGTTCTGAACATTGCCATGGTGCCTTGCAACATCATTTTTAATCTCCAAGAGTAGCCCTGTGCCGGGCCCACGTCATGCTCACACACATGCCTCACTATTTATACTGCTTTGTACAATGGTACGTCTCATTCATGTGTTTTTAATGGTGTTTGGACAACACTGAGTTTTATGGCGTGTCTACAGAGACGATACTTGCTGGCAGGATAAATTCATTGTTGGTTTTAATGTTTAATCAGGAAGACTGTTGAACTGATAAAAGCTGAGATTTTGTCAGCCTTATCCTTAAAGGCTGTCGCATTACTTGAAGACTAAAAGCCTGCAGTGAGTCTTTAAAAGCGGTCCGTATCCCCGGGTGGGTTCTCTTTGATCAATAACAAGAGTAGGGAGACTTTGGTACCTGAGCCACAGCCTGAGGAGCCCCAGCGAAGGCGGCTGTAGAGACGACACTCACTGCTCCTCCCCCATCATCTCGCCCTTCAAGCTGCTGGTCAGTCACCTGAACAACACGGTACGTCACCTGCAAGGTGGAGAGAGGAACAATAGACAATGCGAGGAGAACAAACCAGAGGAACCGGTTGATTATTCATGTGGTTAACTACAGTCCCTATGACAGGCGTACTGTGTCCAAATCAAAACCTTATCTGACTTGTAGATTTGTTTAGCATGTATATTGCTTCAGTTCAGTATTTAAAACTATAGTGCTTATTCCAGTAGTGCATTGATCTCACTTCAGGCACAATCTGAAGCATGGGCATATTGTATATCTCTCGATTTGCTTATGCTTCAGAATGTGGCTGATTCAATTTTCACAGAAATTAGCTTGTTTGTTCCACAAATCCGTATTTGTAACCCTCCATCATGTGACTCTCCTCCTGACTGACATGTGACAGCGTTTCCATGCCAATCCCACACCAGGCTGCAATCACATGATCGCTCACGCCAGCCTGATTTACGCCAAATGAGCTACATGGATGCCTGACTTAATTCCCTCCAGTCATCATCATCTTGTTCCCAATAATCATCATGTTCCCAATAATCATCCCAATAAGGATAAACCAACTAGGAAATCCTGCATTTACTTTTTCCAATAAATGTTTTTTGCACCACCGTCCCATTGTCAATCACTGTCCACCCCTGGAGTGAATACCCCATTAGTGGACGACAAGGAGACGCTCTTGGTCACCAGCCAATCATGAGACTAGAAAAGGAAACCCCACACACTCATACCTTCAGGCAATTTAGAGCCTGCTATCCTCCTGACTTGTGTTTGGAATAGAGGACGGAGCCACAACATCCGGAAGAAAACACATAACATAACATCCTTATGTGAGACGAACCCATGTTTATCTCCCTGTGAGGTGGCAGCGCTCGCATCAACGCTCAGCATGACAGACCATGAATTACAAAGCGTGCATGCAGTACATGTGGAGTAAAGTTGTGTTTACAGACAGTCATCGATTCATGCAACCAAATCCATTCAACCCCAATCATCAATACGTAATGTGAAGCGCTGTCAGTTGCTAAGTATGTCTCTGCTGATGTTTATTCCTCCTCACATCTAAAGTGATTCTGAAATCTGTTTTCTGTTGTGAGTGCTGAACCCTAAACTCTCAACTTGAGGTACCTTACTTGAATATTGATGCGGGCGATGAATTGATTTTATACATTTTTTTTATTCATCTTTTATTTTTCACTTCAACTTGGACAATTACCTGCCATTAAAACTGCAGTTTGGAGGCAGATATTGTACTTTTTACTCCACTACATATATTTGACAGTTTTAGTTAGTAGTCACTTTGCAGATTTAGGTTATTAATACAAAATATAAATCAACAAAAAAATATGTACAATTTAAGCTACCCAGTAGTATAAAAAGTAGTAAACATTAGCTCCATCTCTACCTGCTGCAACATCAGTGATGCTTACACATTAATGCAACACTAATTATGGAACAGCAGTATAATACATTTCATTTCATTGTTTATTTTAGCAGGGACAGCGCACAATTAAAACTAATTGCACCAGAGTTAGCTAAAAGCTGATTTGCATCTGTTGTCCCTGGACTTGTAGACACAGAAAAAACCCACATAAAACAACAATATAGCATATACAATTCTGCATAATGAGTATATTTTGATTATTTGTAATTTTACTTGGGTAAAGTTTTGCATACAGTACGTTTACAGAGTATTTTTTTCACTCTGGCATTGCTACTAAATGCACTGGGGCACTTGATGTCTTTTCTGACACTGGCAATAAGAAACAACAAGCAGTCCCACAACTCCATCCATTAGTCACTCACCTGACCACCCTCAGTTCGGAACTGGTATTGTATGTTGTGGTCACCAAATGCTGCAGCCTGCTGAACACTGGCTATGGTGACAGCTGTCTGCTCTTCTCCCGTTCCGTCTGAGGACAGAAAGGAGGACAGAAAAAGTCAGATGTGAGGACAGAAGAGATGGAAAACTAATAAAGAAGGCTAACAAGCCCCGAGTTGCCGAATATAATACGTACAGCTGCATGATCAACAGAATAGGCAATGCATGCTATACTTTATGACACACACCTTATGTAGCAGATAGAGCAGTTTATCATCCGTTATCTTCTTTGGGCTATTGTACAAAATATATATACACATCACTGCTGTGCAGGTTTCCAGATGTTGTAACTGACAGCTTGGTGGATAAATTCTTACCTTCAGATGTCTGGACAACCTCTTCTTCTTGCTTTTCTTGGCTGCAAACCAAGATAACAATCAAGTTTAACGCGACCAGTAACGTATCTGTGATTATTTTGGATAAAGATAAATATGATTACTGATCCTCAACGTTGCTTTAGCTGATAACAAATGTGTGAAAGGCGCCAGTCGAAATTGTAAAACACAACACAGCTAAAGTTGCTGTACTCGGCTTATAACACAGTTGTTTGTGTTAAAATACCTAGGTTAAGCTAATTTAGCTATTGTGTTATTAGCTAATCATGATCATGTTTTCCACAACTGTACATGGGTATTATGGGACACAACTAGTCAGCTATCCAGCTAGCAAAGTCTCCCACTTCTCTTTCTAATTCAACTGCTGTCTTTAGATTGAATTCGTTTTGACAACAGTTCTTTAGGTTAGGCCTTAGCTAGCGTCCTAAACTAGCTATCCGAAATAGCATGTTGTAGCTAGCTTGTCCCAGTTAGCCATTTTTTTATCCGACTCTCGGTTACCTTGCGCTGTCCAGACTCTGTTCAAGCATATCCATCAGGGTTAGAGTAAAAAGTGATATTCGGTGTCACAGACGGAGATGGAAGTGCTGATCACGGGAACAAACACTCGGGTCATGTGAGAGAGAGACAGCCCAGGACACGTGAGGTATGGCTCGGTGTCGGAGTCAAAATGGAGGCCGCCGCCGCCGCTGCTGCTGCTGCTGCTGCTGCTGCCGTTGGGTGACCCGCGCTGACTCCAGAAGATTTTCCCTCCCACACGGTTAACACGTTCAAAACAACGGTTTATAACCTATAATAATATACTGAAACAGTACCAGGGGAATCACTATCTGTTGGTAAACATGAGAGAAAGTGGGAAAGACTAAAACAGTCGAATAAAATTGAAAAAAGTATAACTTAATCAGCAATTAGTGTCCTGAGAGTAATGTTAACACAAATGTCACAAAAGTATCTTCAAAGGATACAAATATATGGAAGCCCATTTGTGTCAACAAACAAAAAAAATGATAAAAAGTCATAATTATGAGATACTTAAACACACCAGAAGCAGCTCTTTGGCAGTTACCCTATACATTTGACATAGAAATGGATTGTGAGTACATTGAAGACTACTTTAAATGTGGCTTTACAACAGATGAAATACTTCAATTGCTTGCTGTTTCACATGGGATTGAACTCAGCAAACGCACCCTTGAAAGGATTTCAAGCAAGAAGTAGCTCTGGTGTAGAAAGAATACAACTGAGGTGGCAACCTTCATTGAACAGCAACTGGAAACATCTGGTCAGAGTCATGGTTACAGGTAGATGCAGCAAAAGTGTTGGTGCATTTTTTTTATTGCTTCGGAAATAGGCTGCCATACATACTACTCTGACCCCGAATTCAAAATTCATATGAAACGTTTATAGGCTATGACACATACACATTATTATTGATCCATAGAGAATGAAGGCTGTGCTTGCAATTTTCTTACATTCAGCTCATTTTAATATTTGTTTAGTTACTTTGATTCTCATTTCAGTTTAATTGTACCAGTCTTTATGGACACAATTTGGTAATCTCTGCCAAAAGAATGAGAAAAATAATAAGGAACCTTATTTAATAATGAATTATTATCTCAAAATAATGAGTAAATATTTTTGAAATAATACAATCTAATAGATAATGACTTATTTATCTAGAAATGACTTGTAAGCTCAAAATAAATTATTAGTGGCCTGGTAGGCCTGAGTTAAAATATTGAGAATGTTTCTCATTATTTTTAGATAATAAGTTAATATTTTGAGAAGGTTTCTCATTATTTTGAAATACTAGGCCTAAGTTATTATTTTGAGAATTTTTCTCATTACAATTCAGGATCTTTTTTTTTGCATTACAATGGCAGAAACCCTAAATTTTTCTATCACTTTGAAGTTACTTGGTTTTTCTAAGGGATTTTGACTTTACTTTACCAAGGTTAACAACAAACATTCACTTCACCCACACCAGTTTATTAGTACACCTAGTTAAAACTAATACAGTCCAATACAAACTGTCAGTTCCCCGTGTGAAACCAGATGTCAAAGTTGATTTATTTCTCATGCAACTTTTGTATTTCAGTACTTATTTTAACACAAACAACGATCTTTTCTTAAATCTAACCAAGTGGTGGCGGCGCTTGGTCATGGACGTCTTTATAATATTTGGTCCGACCTATATGTGTCAGTGAGGGTCATTACATTGCTGTAATTTGACATTAATGTTGCTCCCTTTCCCTAATTTGAAATTATATTATAGTGGAAGAAGTGGAATGACTTTCCTAGAAACCATACAAAGGCAAGATAGCATATACATTAGGCAAAGTCAAATTGTATGTTATTAATGAGGTAATTCATATTTAATAACTATGTGGGCAATTAATAATTTGCCACATAGCCCAGTAATAAAATGTATACTATGACATTTTTTTTCTTCTCAACTTTGCTATTAGAAAACACTTGTCGGAAAATCCTAAAATCAGAAATTTGGTATTAGAAGACACTTTTCTAAAAATCCTAAAATCAGAAATTTGTTATCAAGTCACGCTTATGTATAACTTTCAATGTATCATGTTAACTCACTCTATCGTTTGCCGTGAACTTTGTCACACATAAAGCAGAACGTTTCTTCCTCGGCTCTTGTTTACGACACAGATATGAGGAGCACCACATTATTCACAGGTGATTTTGTCGTTATTCATATAGTTTGAGCTATTTAAACTATCAGAATATTGACAGTGTGCATTAAATGGATTTAACACATTTTCCCGAAACTCTTAAATAAGTATTAGTTGTCATAAACTCACTAAAACCAGGACACCGACTGACTTTTTTAAAATTCTTTTTATTGAATTTATCAACCGCTTCATAGCGCTTCTTGGCCAATCAGTATAGAGAGCGTTCACTGTGGTCTGCTCTCATTGGCTGGACCGGGAGGCGGTCTCCTCAGCTTCCTCAGCTGGAGTCACCCTAAAATAAGTCCGACCTCTCCTCCTTGGGTGAAGGTTCACTGTGGTGACACTTCTGTCTGGTTAGCTGTCTACTGTACCGCGTAGTTAAACGTTTCAGCCACAATGTCTGGCCGTGTCCTCGTTGGAGTTAAGCGTGTCATTGACTACGCAGTTAAGGTAATTATCCTTTCACTGTTCCAACGGGCGTATTCACCTTCTCAAGTACATTTGTCCTGTACTCACTCACTTGACTTTCTAGGTTCTGCTAGCTAACGTTAGCCTGCTGGCTGTGAATCAAGAGCTAAGGAGCACAACTACCTGTTCACGTATTTGATAGATAAACCAGCTAAACTGATATGGTCACCTAACAGGATGCAGTATGGTGAATAATTTAGATTATTGTTAGCAATGCTGCAATGTGAGACTTGCTAGTTTCCATAACAGTTGATGTTTTCAAGTTATGTAACTTAGCTAATATCTGTCTGTCTGATTATATGGAGGACATGTACATTTTTCAGCTTTTCCTCCATCTTAAATGAGTCTGTACGACAACAGTGCACGGTGCAGTCAAACAATTAATGTGATTTCAATATTCTTTAGCGAGGTTACAGTCTCCTATGTACACCCACAATCAATATTTGCAGCTGTTTCATGTAACAGCAAGAACAGTCCTGCTCCAGCTGCTCTCAGCAGGACACACACTTTCTTCTGCATCAGGCAGATGATCATAATATGAGTCAGCAAAAGTACCTTTTGTTTAGATTTTGTGTGTTTTGGGAGAGTCTAAATTTGCCCTTGTCATGTATGCTGTAAGGCCTATGTCAGATCGAGTCCTCTAAAACATATAATTATTTATGATGTTATTCATATTCATCATCATGTTTATATACGTGATACAGGTACGGTATATGGCCAAAAAAGTATGGCCACCCCTGCCCACATAGCCCTGTGTTCCTACCTCTGTGGCTGTTTCTTCGGGGGGTTTTGGCTCGATCCTTCACTTTTGTTTCAGGGAGATCTTAAAGCTCCAGCATGCAATGCCAATAGACGAACAATATACAAACCGTATGCATTCCAACTTTGTGGCATCAGTTTGGGGAAAACCATCTTCTCCTGTTCCAACATGACAGCGCCTTCCTGCTCAAAAGCCAGTTCCTAAAATACATTTTGTTTTATCGCTTTGGTTTGGAAGAACTTATTCGGCCCGGCTCAGAGCCCTGGCCTCAAACACATCAGATGCCTTTGGCATGAATTGTTATGTGAGCTGAGCTAAACCTTATCGCTAGACCTCACTAATGCTCTTGCTCTTCTACAGCACATCAATACAACAGGTTTTAGAATTAAATATCCAGACCCTTTTTTTCCAGATTACATGTTGAATATGCTCAGGAGTTCTTCATTATCATTTTCCAATAGTGAAGCAATGCAAAACAATAACAACAAGAGATGAGAGTATATCCAAAAGGATAGATGGATGGATGGATAGATCTCTCTGTCTCTCTGTCTCTGTGTGTGTGTTTGGTAGTTGGCCTTAGAATCCAGGCTACCTGGATTGTTTGTCATCTGCCGCCCCCGTAGTGACTCTGTCCTCTGGTCTTCCTCCTCCTCAGATTCGTGTGAAGCCAGACAACAGCGGCGTGGTGACGGATGGCGTTAAGCACTCGATGAACCCCTTCTGTGAGATCGCTGTGGAGGAGGCGGTCAAGCTGAAGGAGAAGAAGTTTATTAAGGAGGTTGTGGCTGTCAGCTGCGGCCCACAGCAAGCGCAGGTGGGTGAGGTTGGGCCAGACTGTACCTAAAATGGCCTTTTAGCAGAATCATGCTGTAATAAAGTGCTGATTGTCTGCTTATCATTGTTATTTATGAATTGCCTTCTTTTTTTACATGTCCTACTTTGCGTGATGCTGCCTTACTCCTCTACTCTCTGTTTATTCTGTTCAGCTTTTCATGTTTTGCTATCTTTTGTTCTTATTTTATGTTGTGCATTTTATTTGTAGTTTTTAATGACCACCTCAAACATCAGGCCTAGGGAGAACAGTTGAAAATGCGCCGTTTGGGTAACACTGGCATGTTCACAGTGATGTTGATCAATGTGTATTGTTTGTGAGAATAAATTAATACATAGAACATAGAAATTATATATATCTCTACTTGAAAATCTATTCCAGTGCAATTGGATAGAAAGCATTTTGCTTATTAAATTTGTCATTTTCCTGTGTTGCAGATGACTTAAAAATAAGTTCATAATAATTGTCATTTGTTTGTACGTATCACCAAACCAGAGTGCAGGCTTAGTCTATATTTACATACATTACAATTTGTTTTATTTAAATAAATTGTTGGAATGTACACTGTAATGTATATAAATGGAGAATAGTTGCAACACCCTGTGGCATTTAAATAGATTTTCAGGTCCAGAATGTTGAATTATTCAGACTGTAATTAATCAGGGCAAACTTCAGAAGCAAGCCAACATGAGAGAAGTTTTACCAGCCATGTATTAAAAATGTAGTTATTATATTTATTAATATGGAGATAAATGTCATATACATTTGAGTCCCTACCATATTGTGGTAATACAATTTAAGTTGGGGAGCAGCAGCTCCCTGTTCTTCTTCTTGAGTCTCAAAAGAAGTTCCTTTGATGAGTATTCCTCCCTCCCTTAGGAGACCATCCGTACCGCCCTTGCCATGGGAGCGGATCGTGGCATTCACGTGGAAGTGACCGGGAAAGACTACGAAACGATGGGACCCCTGCAAGTCTCCAAGATCATGGCTGCTTTGGCCAAGAAGGAGGATGCTCAACTCATCATCCTCGGCAAACAGGTTGAAATCGGGATTCATTTCACTTTTAAATCAGATCGCACTTCCTGCTGTCTGAAATGAATGTCACTTTTGGGTTCTCCTCAACAACAACAAATTCTTAGTCAACAGACACAATTTTTGTCAACTAATTGATTACTTGATTTAATCGACAGATCTGTAAAACACAAAACATCCCTCACAAGCACCACTTTGTTTACCAGAGATGTTCTGAAAAGTGTCTTGGAAATAAATCAGTCGACTTAGCTTAAAACGACAAATAGTTGACTAATCGAAATATGTATTACTTTTCATATGCACATACGTTCACTACATTCATGTTTACATTCAGCTTATTTATTTTCAATACTTCTTGCCATAAATTCACATTACTTTATTTTATATTTTATTCATGTTTATATATTGTCCCTATATTTAAACTTGCACTATTTATGTCTTCGATTCTCATTTTGTTGAGATTTAAAAAAACATGTAATGAGCATTGTTGCATTGTTGGAGGAAGCCTGATATCCAATGTTTACATTGCCAACAGTTGCTTTACTGTAATTGTTGAGCATATGATCATAAAGAACCTTAAACTTCAACTTGTAACCAATGACTTGTGTTGCTTCCGTAGGCCATCGATGATGACTGCAATCAGACCGGCCAGATGACCGCAGCCTTACTGGACTGGCCTCAGGTGAGACTATTTATTCTTAAAAGGAGTTTGCCGACCTGTCTCAAATTATGTTATGATCTGAAAATGGCCCAACTCCTACGTGATTACTGTAAATTGGATTACCCGGTTTCTATTTTTCCACTTTGTCTTAACAAGTGTCAGATATGTGACGTTGACATAACAGTGCTGATATCAGGCTGAGCCTCTGTGCTGGTTTATCAAGGTCAGCTGAGACTAGTTTGAGTCAGTCAGAGCTCAGTGATCAGCAGAGCAGGTCAAACACAGCTCAGACAGTTGAGGTGAAGTTCCACTAGCTGACCAGTAGGTGGAGCACTTTTGTTGACACATAATCTCACTGTCTAGAGACAGTGTGGGGCACTGACTATAATGTAACTCCCGACACGTTAACCAGCTAACTTCAAAGTTCCAATGTTTTGAAATGTGTTGTTTACATCTGTAACCATTAAATTAAAGTGTAGTTACTGTCGAACCAATCGGAAGCAGCACATTCATTGTGTCATGAACTCAAGTAACCTCACATCATTTTTGGCTGCCATTGCAAAGTTAGCCATGTTTTGTTTGTGGATTACATTTTATGACTTTGTACCATATGTTAATATCGCAGGGTACCTTCGCATCAGAGGTGTCATTGGAAGGAGACAAGGTGAAAGTGGTGAGAGAAATTGATGGTGGCCTGGAAACTATTAGGATCAACACACCAGCAGTGCTCACCGCAGACCTTCGACTCAACACCCCGAGATATGCCACCCTGCCTAATATCATGGTAGGTAGCAGGGGAAAATGAAATGCTGTATTCAGAAAGCCCAGTTATGTAAATCTATACAAAATGTTTATTCCATACAGCAATCTCTTTTAATACATGTTGGATTGACGGAGCGTGTTTTAAAACAAGTAGAACAGAGTCTGTACTTTAGCCTTCTCTTGTGTTTTCTTACTTTCAGAAAGCCAAGAAGAAGAAGATCGCTAAAGTGAATCCTGCAGACTTGGGGCTGGACATGACATCCCGGTTGGAGGTGGTGAGAGTGGATGAGCCCCCACAGAGGCTGGCAGGAGTGAAGGTGGAGACGGTTGAGGACCTGGTGGGCAAACTGAGGGAGCAAGGGACGCTATAGAGGCTTCAGGAGTATGAGCAGGGGAGCACAGGACTTGGCAGAAGGGTGAGTGTTTACATCTTAATTATCCTATTCTGGTCTATCAAATTATTTTCCCTAATCGGCATTTTTTTAAACGTATAAAGGTATTGCTTCTTTCCTAAATTCAATGTTGAAATTGAAAGTCTGGGCCAGGATTGCCTGCGCGCGTCTGTCACCGCTGACTTCACAAGAAAACAGGTGGCTGAGTCGAAATAGCAGCTAACAGTCGGAACAATGTCAACAGTGCTGACGGAGCTAACCGTGTTAACGAAGGTTAGGTCACACTCAACCGGAGCGACCGGGCTTCCGCGACGATATAAGCGGTAACTGCCATACGATCACCGCTCTCCTGTGAATGCCCAGCCCGGTTAGTGCGCAGTGCAGCGCGACGGCCATTAGCCAGCCAATAGTTGTTTGCTGCTATATTATTGCTCAGAATGTCGGATATATTGCTCCTTCAAAGTATATGTTTTTGGGTGGGCAAAGGGCCAAGTTTTACTTTATATTGGTTTTCTAGGAAAGTGGGCAGTAAAGTACATCATTGCTGAACAACTGGTAAGAAAAACATTGTATACCGAAGAAATGCATTATTGATGAATCTTTTTCAATTTTCATCTTGCGTATACGTGCAGCGAGGTTACCACTTGTGAGGACTCATCTGTTTGTTATATTAATGTTACATCCTTTAGATTCACCATCTCTGAGTATCTCGTGGTGACGGAAACAAAGCTAATTAAAGAATGTAATTGCAACTCTTGTCTTGGATTACATATCTACATTCTCTTCTCTCCTTGCAGGACTCTCTAATGAATAACTGGACTGTGTTGCGCAAGCGCACCCGGAGGACTAGCTTATGTTTCGGTCTAATCCCTCTGTTTTTGAGACTGCGACTCCTGAGGATATGCAGGGAGGTACTGAGAAACACTGTCCTGTAGCAGACGAGCCCAAAAGGATCAGCTTGTCTTTTATGTGCATTTTAACTTGCATTCATCTGTATCATAGGCTATTAATCTGACTTCAGACAAGCAGTCTTTATGCAACAATTGAAACCCAGACTTCTATCACTATCATTCATGCTGCTGTTTGTTTTACACTGTACAATACCAGGACGATGCATTTCACCAACCGTTACAAGACTCTGCTGTTTAATCTTGTGCATCTGTAGTCTCACATGTTAAGCAGTGCAGTTTTTGTAAATGATGTATGTAGATAAAGACCCGAACATGTTGAGATGATAAGTGTCATGTCCGCTGGTGATTGTATAGTTTGTGTAATTGTAACCGGGTTTCAGACGGGGTCTCTCAGTATGAGCGAGGGAAGATGATCAAACTTTTACCGTAAGCGCCTCAATTCTCTGTTGATTGTACAGAACATTACCATGACAATAAAGCAGCCAGTCTTTTTCATATCTCAAAACGCCTCAGAATGTTCCTTTGGTTTGAACTTGACATTGTTAACTACTCTTAATAGGCAACATATTGTGGTGGATATTCGTCAAGAGTGGTGGTGAGACCGGGGGATTTATCGGATCAAGTGTTTCACACTGGTGGTTTTATAGTATTATGTCTGAAGCTGTGTTCTTACCGGTTAACACGCTGTATCACCTTTGGCCAGTAACATATTTCTGCGCCATGTTATGTTGAATAAAGCAGCAATGCTTATAAATATCTGCTTTATTGGGTTCACCTAGCTGAACCTAATCGAGTCTAATACAAAAATCCTGCAGTAACTCCTAATTTCATGAAGGTTGGAATGTTCAGTTTTGTAGCAGTGTTGATTCAACATGTATGATCATTTTGAATTTATATTCAATATTATAATGCAGTAATCCGGTTGTAACTAATGACCTTGCACGTGAGTGTAAAAGAACATTCGCAGGTTAAGGGCTTGTTTACTGTTAGTCAAAGGTAAGGGTACCAGCGATGTGGATCCCGGCGCATAGACCGCATTATATAATAGATACTTGAATATATAATTTAAATCAACATGTGCCTTATGTAGGCTAACGGACACGCATTAAAATTAAATAATATTGGAGTTGAAACAAATATAAAATCGGCACTGTTATGTGAAATTAGATAAGGGGCGTGGCCTCGCATGCACAATCAAGGCTTTGACTCGGCACAGGTGAGCCACTCACGCGCCCTGCTGACAAGAGGACACACAGGCGGATCCAGTCACTTCTGTCCAAGACACCAAAGACATTTTATCGCTTGGGTTTTTTTTTGTGCTTGGATTTTAGCTTCATAATCAGCTAAAACAATAAGTTATCTCGGGTCAATTGGTGAGCAACTCTGCTGTCGGTCCTGTTTTAACAAAAATGACCTGGCCGGATGAATTTGGGAGATTAAACGCAGTTCTGGCCATTTTACTCCGCTTCACCTTTCAAGGTAAGATGTGAAGTAAATACTTGCTCTGCTTGGTTTGTTCCTTGACAATTTACAGAGAAAAGCCTGTAACAAAGTAAGAAAAGGCTTTAAATTATGTTCCTGTTGCTAATATTGTTCATTTTTCTTTCTAGTTCACGTTGAACCAGTAATTCTATGTATTTGTGCTTGTATAACGGACACACAGTACATGCCTTGCATGTCCACTTCCCACCATCATGTATTGAACTGTAACAAGGATTTAGAGCGCTGAGAGATGAATATTTCCTCTGTAAACGGATGGCTTATCTCTCTGACAGGTGCATACTGTCAACTGGTGGTTTCCCCTGCTGGTCCTACGCTGGTGAACGCTTTAGCTGGCCGCAATGTGACTCTGGCTGTGTCCTTCAGCGGTGCCACTGACCCGGCGGTTACCTGGTCCATGGCAGGTTTACCTGTAGTCACGTGGGCCATTAACTCCCGCGCTGCCCCTGACATAGCCGACAACAGAGAGAAGGTGCTGCGGATCGAGACGAATGGATCCCTTAGCTTTGTAAACGTGCCGCTTGAATATACCAGTAACTACACCATTGAAATGACCAAGTCTGGACTGAGAACATCCTCCACCACTTTCACTCTGAAAGTATTTGGTGAGTCTGATTTTGTAATGGGGTTTTAAAACATTTGATAGGCCTACATACATATAGGAAAAGTTGCTGGATTTGGCAACATTTGGATCTTCAGGAGATTCAGTAGATCTCCTGTAGAGTTGTGAGTTTGAACGATGTTTGTCTGAATGTCTCTGGGCTGGATGAAACTAGGAGAGAATTGTTTATAAAGCCGCTGGCTGTGTTCACAAAAGCTCCCCAATTTCCTCAGTTGAAGGTGGACTGCCCTGAAAAATCATGCAAGATCCACCTGTTTCATCCCTTCACCATTTCATCCACAGATATGATCCAGGATGTGATCCTGAAGGCACAGTCTGGTTCTGCCCAGGAGGGAAGTGACCGGTTCACCCTGCAGTACAGCGTGCCGCAAGGAGTGGTCGAGCGTCAGACGTGGTTCTTCAGTGGCATGGAGATAAAAGCCAACTCGCGCTACCTGGTGGAGGAAGGGAGCCTTGTGATCCTCAGTCTAAACCGAAGCGACACAGGACAGTACACGGTGTTACTGACGAACCCCTTCAGCAGTCTGACAACTGACACAAACGTCACCGTGCTGTGTAAGATTAATTAGTAGATGTCTTTCTACACCTCCGTCTGTTTGTGACCCCTCTTCTTCTAACTCTCCTCTACATCCTTTGTGGTGTGTTTTGTAGACGGACCAGACGAGCCCATACTTGAGGCACGTCCAGCTCGACCTTTCTATGTAAAAGGGGACTCTCTGACCATCTCCTGGCAGGCTGATGGGTTCCCACCGCCGACTGCCGAGTGGGTCTTTGGCAGTCAGACCCTTTCTGATTTACCCGAAGGAGTCTTAAATCTAACAAATGTACAGACCAGTCAAGGAGGTGTTTATACCTGCACGCTGCTCAATGGGGAGACGAGAGAAAAGAGTCAAAAGAGCATCATTGTAAACGTTTATGGTGAGTTTTACCTCTTTGGTGTGCATGTGATGGGATTTGGTGTTTTGCTAGTAATTTGTTCCTGCAGGTTTCAAAGAATATTATGATTTGGTTACTTCAGAAAAGACAAAATTCCGTTTTGAATTTACACATTGTTACATGTAGTTTGCGGTAATGTTTTATATTCAGTATAGAGCTATGGGATTACAGCCTTCTACCATATGTACACCTACTGTTTAAAGACCTTTTTGTATTAACATACTAAAATTAGGAACCACAGACCAAAACATGAATGAATGCTTGGTTCAGTTTATTAATATCTGATTAATTTTCTCTTTGGACAGAGAGGCCGTCGGGCGACCCGACGTGCTCTGTGCAGTCGGTGAATAACGTCGACCTGCAGTACCTCTGTCGGTGGTCTTGGGGATCTCCACAGGCCCAGCTTTCTTTCCCAGCACTGAGCAACACCAGCAGTGGAGCAGGGAACCTCAGCCTGACCATCACCGCCTCGCATAACCTCGACGGGAAAACTGTCACGTGCATGGCGGACCATCCTGTCGAACTCAATAACTGCAGTATTACTGCAGGTAAGTTTGAGATTTCTCACAGATTATCAAGCCAACAATCTGATGCACGCATCAGTGACTTTAGTAGCCGGCCCCCAACAAGAACCTTATCTTCCTCAGGTAGTCCAAGGATGTTTCTGCCAGCTGTGAGAACCACAGTTGACTCCGATGGCAAAATAGTGGTGACCATCCACTGCGTCAGTGAGGCCTCGCCTCAGGCCGTGGTGTCATGGTACAACGGCAGCGAGGCTGTCGCCAGCACGACACCGTACCAGATCAGCAGGGACACCACACAGCTCGAGATACGGGACTACAATGTCAGCAACTTTCTCCTGCAGAACTACACTTGTATCTGTCGCAACTCACTTGGCAGCCAGAGAAGGAAAATTCAGTTGAGAGGTACAGTATTGCTGTTCTTGGTTTGTTGGTTGTAACATTATTAGGGGTGGAAAATAACCAAATACTCAAGTACCAAGTATTAATTGTTGTTGAATACAGTTTTGCAGTACTTTTACGCATCTACTACATTTCATGTGTAAAATATTTAAGATGACCTACGGTGAGACATTAACTAGGTTAAACTACTCAACGGTATATAAACGACAGACATTTAGCTCCACATGAACCAGCTGAAATATTGAAATGCTGCTTATGAATGAATGAATCAATCAGTAATTTGACACTCTGAAGAGCTATTCTACAAAAAAGGGCTGAAATAAAAAAGTTAATCTGTTTGTAGATTGACAGAAAATTAATCAACTATTCTGATAATAAAAAATATTTTTTTAAATTAAAAATAACCAAAAAATTCCCTTGTTTAAATTTCTCATTTGTAAGGCATCCCTCTCTCTTTGTAGCATATGATGGTATTTTATACACGTTATAACTGAGATGGGCATTCTTCACTACTTGTTGACATTTTGAAGACCAAACTTTGAATCAGAAAGATCAGCTGATTAATAGAGAATGGAAATATCTGTTTGCTGCAACCCCACCTTTACTACACTGACTTTGGATATTATATAATACTTGTCATGTCTAATACAAAGCCTATTGTGATGGTTACAGACTAGTACAGTGATTATATGTGTCATTTTTAAATACTTTAAGGATTCTGTTGCCTTCAGCTTCTAATTTTGACTTCTAGCATTACCAGAGTAAAAGGAAACAACGGGCCTTTTATATAGAGAGCTAAGTAAAACCTGAGACTGCTCTTTCCCTTTTAAACAAAGCTCTCCAGTCCTGGTATCCGTCTCTTGAGCTCCCTCCAGCTCACAATCCCTCTCTTTCCAGGACCGTCGATCTCAGATTCCAGCTTGTTCGCCAATCACAATGGAACCATCATCACATTGACCTGGGAGGTCCCGCCCACCTCCATCGTTACAGGTAAAGCAGTGATTAACTCTAAGAGGAGAGATCTTTAAACATCACACACAAACCCAACCTTCTTGTTTTCAATTTGGACAGGTCAGCAGAACTCTCCAGTGTTGAAAACAGAAACTCCACATAGAGGATAGGGGTGTAAATATTGTGCTATGTGCTAATCCTCTAGCTGAGCAGCGCTGTGTTTTGGAAAAAAAATATACTATATGTTAAGGACAAAAGTAGTGTTATGTCTTATTCTCTATGTCCATAATATAAGATGTTCCTAATCAAACAGGCCTGTTAGACGTGTAAGTGAAATCCTGCCATGTGGTAACACTATATGCTTTTGCGATTGATCAACTTTGATGCTTTAGTATCATACAAAACAGAACTGCATGTGCTTTTGCAAAGGGTTTGACATCCAAATGAGAGGACCGCACAGCCTGAGCAGGAATTGTAATGGTACCCAAACCAGAGGCAGCTCAAACAGATTTCACACCATCCAGCAGAAACCTGGCGCCGCCAGGAGTGCCGACATCTTTAACCTCGATCCCAAGTTGAGGTACAGTTTTCGGGTCATCCCCAAAGCTCGCATGACTGAAGGACAGCCGTCTGAGGTCCAGAAAATCGGTCCAGGTATGGCAAATTCTTAGATTGTGTGTGTGTGTGTGTGTGTGTCTAAAGCGTTGCATTTCTTATCACATTGTCACACCTGGTGCTACGGAAGTAAAATCGCTGCTCACCGTTTGTCCTGGTCACACTAGGTGAAGGGCTGAGTGGATCTGCCATCGCCGGCCTTGCAGCTGGAATCCCCTGCGGCCTTCTCTTCCTAGTCCTACTGGGTGGCTTCATCTACTTCTGTGTCTACTTTAACAAGAACAAAAGTAGGTGGCTGCTTAGCAAAAACATCTGAATCAAGTCTTCAAACACGGTGACATGTTTTCTTAACATTCTGTGATGAAAGTGTTTTGACTTTTTTTCTGTGTTGCAGGTCGGCAGGCAAGATATCCAAAATCCAGAGCAGTTGAGAAGGTTAGAATCACGTCACACAACACATTATTTGATAGTTACAGTTTAGGAGGAGCTAGAGGAGTATAAAATATATACCATACTCTGCATATCATGCATCAGATAGTGTTTTCATTCATGAACATGTTGCACGATGAACTCTGCGTTTCGCTGGTTGTTTCAGCTTCTTTCTTGTCGCTCGCAGGCAATAACAACCCCAACGGAAACTACTCCTCATAACCTGCTGACAGGAGGGCTGAAGTCTCCACCTGATTACAACGGATTACTGCAGGTCCTCTTTCATAAAACGCATCTAAGTGGAACATTGTTTCTTTTGCGGATTTATAATATCTTATTTGGCTTTTCTTTTTCAGACTCCCTCTGAAAGATCAGTGGCTCTTCCAGCTTTTGTCCCTCCACCGCCTGTCAGAACTGCTACAACTGTCTGAACTCCAAACATTTGCTGTGATGTATATATTAACTTTGTATAGCATGCTATATTTTTATGCGTTTTATTTCAATATGCGAGTCTTCTGTATTTGTATTATTATTTTAACCGAAATGAGGATTGTCATAAATGTTTCAGTAGAGATGGATATTTGTATCACTTTCCTTTATAATCTGCACCTTAAATTTCTATCATTTTGTAACTTTATTTATTCATAATAAATACAAATACAAGCCATGCCTGTAAAGTGTTTTTTTTTTATTTTTTTTTATCTAAATAAAAACAAATGAGCATAACAGTTTCCATCTTATTTACTGTAACTTTACAAGTTGTATATCACATCTGTGACTATGCTGTTCCACTTGGTCCCTCAGTATACAATTGGAACATAATTCTCACATACACAAAAAAAATCCTTATGTTCTGCATTATGATCAATGTAGTGTATATTCTGCTTTAGGTTTACTAGTGCGGTGCCTGTTCGGAGCGCGTGCCCATCTGGATTTGGCCGATTGGCCCCCAGAGGTGCCCCCTGGGGGTCACATTGCACCACATTCTACACTGCATCGGATCAGACGAATGGCTCTCGAGATCTGTGAAGGACGGACACGCGCAATCAACCCTTTTTTTAAAAAAAAAAAAAAAAAAAAAAAAGAGAATTTTTTTGTGGCTTTATTAGACGGATGACAGTGTGGTATGTAACAAAGGTCTACACTCTATCCATTTGGCTACCGAGGCAGTTTACTCTTCATTCTTTGATCAATAAGAAAATATCTGCAGAATGCATTAAATGTTTAAACAAAAGACATCAATTCATGTTATAAGATTAGGACCATATAAAGCACTATATATATTAGAGTATATAGATTCTTTGTTTCCATAAGTTGAGTTAAGGTAATGAGATTAATCTTTAATTCAATCCATGACAGTAAAGAGCCTTCAGTAATACACACAGCCAAGGTAATCTTGTTTTTGTGTCTCAAATTACGAATACAACTGAGGAATATGGAAAAGGTGTTTACACTTCAAATACATTATGGGAGAAGTTCATTATGTTTATGATTCCCTTATGGAACAGATGAGTCACTCAAGGTTTTCCCCTCCTGGCAAAATAGTTTCTCTGTAAAGTTTATTACAAGCTTTGCTGTGTTCAACACACAATGTGACACTGTTGTGCTACTGTATGTGGATTCAGGCCTGACGTTGAGTGGGTGGATAACGAGATAAAGCGTTTGTAAGGATGTCGGATCTGCTCCAGTGATTTCCTCCAGTGACATATTGTGCTCATAAGCCGCGCACAGTGCGTCTCACCATCATCATTCCCTTTCATTTGCTTGTGTTTTGATCAGTTTCCTGTCAGTTTTTCAGTGAGGTGTTGGTTGGTGATAAGTGGAGGGTTACTCTGCAGAGCCTAGTACCTGACATGACAGGATCTAGCTGGATCACCCATCGTTCTCTAGTTTCTGTATTCCAAGCTACTTCATGCTGCTACTTTACACAAGCACAGTCCAAAGCTAAGAAGCATTTAGAGGTAAAGCCGAGTTCCTGTATTAACTGGCCCTTGACTTTAGCACCGCACAATGCAAAGAACTGATGAACCCTGATTTACATCTTCTTTCTGAAGGGGATAGTAGGTAGCTATCAGCTTGCAAAGTAAAGCAATACAAGTGCATAGAAGAAAAGTCTATTTTTAAAGAAGTGCTTGAAATCATTTTGGCTTTTATCTTGTGCATTTGCCTTTTTTACAGGAACAGCGGCTGAACCAGCAGCCCACAGAGGGAGGAGCTGTCAGGTTAACCGATGAGGTCAGATGCTCCTGCCCCACACCTCCTCCCCCCCCCGCCCCCCCTCTCCTCTGAGAGGCACAAAGTTGAAGTAGTGGTGGACGACACACTGGAGGAAGAAGATGAGTGACGCCTCCTCTCAACGTTGCTGTTGGTTGCCTAAGCGGAGGAGGAGGGTCACGGTAAGGTGGCAGGCTTTAAGGTCAGGTCGCTCACTGAGGAGAACAGTGTGCACCCAGGAGTCAGAGTTACAGTGCATATATTACCCTGATGCATCGTCTGTTGTGAGGAAACACAGTCAAATACCTCAGATGTTTCCATTGTGGTGATCTGATGTTTTTTTATGTGTTTGTGCAGCAGATGGTGCTATTGTGCAGTGCTAAATACATCCCATCACATAAAGATTTTCAACAGCCGTTCGTACAATGGAAATTAAAAACACTTATTATGAATATATAATGTGTTGCAGTCACTGTCTTTGTTTGCCTGCATCTCTGATATCTGTTTGTTTATTCGAACCAACTGTGACGACCCCTCCCTCCCACTAGGGGTGTGTGTCCTGGTTGCTGTCTCTCAGGATGTTGATCAGCAGCTAATGAGCCACACCTGAGCCTGATGTGGTGACGGCTCTATAAATCCACAGCTGAACAAGGATCGGCCCCTCTCCTCTCTGACTCTTGTTTGGATGATACGGCTGCTTATTTGTCTAGTTTAGTTATTTGTTCTTAAATAAATGTATATTTATTACTTTTTCCAGTTGTCTTGTCTTTTGTTACAGCCTTGGGGCCGGGTTGTGACACAACTCATACTAATATTAGCTTATCACTATAATTAAATGAAAAGGAGTTAATAGCCACGCTGTGGTGGAGGCTCAATCCAATGCAAAGATGCAAAAACTATCAAAAACTAAAAACACAGGACTGGAAAAACCTGCTATATCTCCTAAAGTGACTGATAACTTAATAATACAGGAATTAAACCGAACTGACAAGAACTGAATGTTAAGTTATTAATGTTTCCTGATGCTTTTAAAGATTTGTTTGCATCATTTGTAAATATTGCAGTAAAAAAAATTATATTTAAAATTGTGATGCAAAAAAATGCAGATTTAATCAATTGATGAAGTGAGGACGCGCTCATGCGAATCAGTGGCACACACGCCATAAAGGCATATTTAGATTTTTATCAACAATGTGTTTGATTTTATAGTTGAAATAGTTAGCCATTGTATTAGGAAAGTAGAGAGGTCAAAGAGAACGCTAGCAGGATTAGCGAACACATATTGTATCGCCTCGTCACATGATCAAATGGAGACTTTGGCCATTGGACAACATCAACTTACATATTACCCAGAAATCATCGTCACATCTGTGTATATGACAAAGAATATCGTTTTTTTCCTTCAATTTTTAAAGTTTATGCACTGTGTAACTGTCTGCCAATTGGAATCAATCACAAGGGCCCATTCTCTTCTCAACACATTGTTTGAGGGCTCGTTCTCTCTACAGGCCCCCACCCCCGACCCACTGGCCCCAGTGCAGCTGCACTGGTCTGCTTTGTCTGTATTTAAGCCGCTGGTGCTAATTGAGGAAAGTGTGACATTGCAGATGTCAAGCCAGAAATGTTGGGCTTGGATGCAAGATCATTCACCACAGTTACACTGTTGTTATGTCCCGCAATCACATCATGTCATTTGTTTCCTTTTTTATTTTCTGCTCCATCTTTACATCTCTCTGGACAAGACAGCGGGTCAGTTTAATTAATGAATTAATGAATTAATTAGTTAGCATGCGCCACTGATGGTACACCTCCAACTTCCTGTGGAACATGAGGGGTGGATATTTCACAGCTCTGAACCAAAGTGCACACATCATCGTATTCACTATCTGAGAACTCATTGAAAACATTTTTACACTGCACATCAGTCAACGCCCTGGGCAGGGCCAGCAGTGCAGAGTGTAAGAACTCCCTACGTGAGTTTATAAGATTATATGTAGCGCTCATCGCCTGTTTCCACATTCAAATACAGATCCAAATGATTGTAATTCACACAATGATTCCACATGCATAGGTGTTTTAACTTAGACAAGGACTGTAGCTCTTTCTATTCAGCTGTTCTGTAACGTAGGTCAGGTTCAATCTTTTGGTAGCTTTGTATTGGAGATTAGATGGACAAACCTGTGTCCAAAATCCCATTACACCTAAATAAATCATGAGAAAAAAAGGAGCTGAATGTCTAAATGCATTATGGTCCCAAATCCTAATCAGTCATGAATGCTCTAAACTGAGTGATGCTCTTTTCCAAATGCCTACCGTACATTTTACAAGGTACAACACTGCAGGAGGATGAGTTATAAGTTAACTAGTAACCACCTTACACCACTTTAAGAGAGACCCCATCACATTCACCACATTTGAGCTCAGCTGTGTCGTAAAACCCTTTGTCTATTATCAAAGAACACTGTGGTAAATGACATGCTTATTATCCTTTTTTTTAATCTTTGACAATATTTATGTTGCAGGCAGGTTGCACATTTTTATCTCATTGTCAAATAGATTACATGACTTACAAAAATCCCTTATGTAGACTAATTAGGCAGTTAATTACAAAAGATGGAATCGCTGCTGAGGTGTCCCTCAGGGCACAGTTCTCTGAATATTAACACTGATTATCTGACATGTAATTAGCCGTGCTCGTATCACTTAAATAACCTTCGATAACCCACCTATTGTGGCAGCTGGGACTGTTTTGACAAAGTGTGCAAGCCGTGTAAATGATGTTGATGTGTGCCAAATAGTTTGAAGTGTTAATACTAATATTGTAAATACTATAGGTGATACATTTTTAAGTATATGTGTATTACGCAGTATTGGGCAGCTTTTTTTTACTATCAGTGTTTCTACAACGTCATTACACATTCAGAGTGCTAAGCACTAAGCAGCTCTTTGGTCATGCGTCTATTCTAAGCATGTGTGTGTGTCTGTGTGTGTGTGTGTGTGTCCATGACCCCACCCCAGCCACCAAAGAAAGTGTGCACTTCAGCATGTTCCATTGACCAAAGCAGTACTGCAAGCCTTTGCACATCCACAGTTCCAGAACGCCTAATAGAACAACAGACGCGGACTGCGGCGCAGCGGCCTCCTATCCCAGACCCTCCCCCATCTCCATCCAACACCATCACCCCTCCCCTCTCCTCTCCCCCGACCCCCAAACAAATACTCCCATGTAGTTCAGTGTGAAAGAGTCACGTGGCCTTTGGCCCAGCAGCTCAAGTGCATTTGTTCTGTGCTGATTGTTTTAAAGGATTTTGCCTCCATCAACAGAAAAGTGGAGGGGATAACGTTTTGGAATTCAGCCTAGGGCTTCCTCTTTGACGTTTCACTCACTCCTGGCTTGCACTCTCTCTCTCACTCTTTCCCTGAGGAAAGGCTGATACTTAAGAGGGTTGATTTATCCTGAGGAATTCAGGTAAGATGATGCCGAGTTCTTCTGTTAATTGCTGAAGCCACTTGGATGCCAAGAACGTGGAATAAATAAAATAAAGTAGAATGCGTATCATGGCATGCTAACTAATGAGGACCTTCACCATGTGATTTTGTCAGTTAGATTTGTTGTTTTGTTCACAATCTGAAGTATTACAACATTATCCCTATAGGATTCTTTTTACTTACTTCATGATGCATTTCACAGGATCATGTGCCGAACTTGAGATTTGAGATTTTTCTGGCTCCTGTCATATGTGATAAATGGTGTTCAGACCCTCCACTGACACAGATGTTTGACATTCCTTACTGTGAAATGCTGATTTCTTTGGCTAGGGTCATATCACTGTGTTTAGATTATGGCTATTTACAGTCAGTGCAGCTAGATACATGCAGGGGACCGGGGTTTAACTTGTTTATATCGGGTTCTATGAGGTGTTGGACTAATTCACCCCAAAAATACCCCATTGATTTTTGATTATGCTACTGTCATTGTCCTCGTTTTAAAACCCTCTTCAATATTTAATTAATTTGTATCAACCGTCACATCTTCCAAAGAATAGTGAGTTATGTGTGGGTTGACTGGTGTTCATATGGATATTTTCAGATTTCTGGTTTTATATGGTTGGACCAGGAAATGAACATACTTGTCTTGTCTAACTGCAGTATAAAAAAACATGTTCAAACAAAGAGAAAGAGAGAGCACATGTTGCTATGAGCTGATTGTATTGTGGTTGGTATGATTACTCTGCTCAGCAGCTCTCATGATCAGTTCTGTGCTTTGTTGTTACAGCTAACTGCGTATAGACAAGCTGATATGCATATATATATACTTCTATAATACACATGGCTCTGACATCCTCATGTATCTTTGAGTCTAGTCCTGGAGGGTAAATCAATCCTTCCGGCCATTCCTGTCTCCTTAATCGATTTCCTACTTACTAAACATTAAAACCAAAGCTACAATCCTTGTTTTATAAAATGACTGTATTGACTCCCATCTTCTTCTCTTTTTGCACAGTGCGTGAGCCTTAACCACTGTCATAGTGTAACTCATGATGCACAGCTTCATGGGAGGGGGCCTATTTTGTGCCATCGTGGGGAACATCCTGTTGGTGGTCTCCACAGCCACAGACTACTGGATGCAGTACCGTCTGTCTGGCAGCTTTGCCCATCAGGGCCTTTGGAGGTACTGCATGTCTGGCAAGTGTTACATGCAGACTGACAGCATTGGTAAGTGGGAAAACATCTTATTTGGACACCTATATATTCCCTTGGGTCTCCCTGAGGCACAGCAACTCACACTATAGTCTAGGTTTACTTATCTGAATACACTGGTGATTATAATGAGTGTCCGAACTTAATGCAAAATCGAAACGTTCTTGAGGTGACGACAGCAACAATAGTGAAAAAAATATTGACAAATATCTTTCACCTAAAGGAACAGTGTGTAACATTTCTGGGGAGGTATTGATAGAAATGGAATATAATATGTTTTCTTTCGACTATAATCACCTGAAAATAAGAATAGTTGTCTTTGTGTTACTTTAGAATGAGCCGTTTATATTTACATACGGAGTGGGTCCCCTTCATGGAGCCGGCCGCCATGTTTCTACAACAGCCCAGAATGGACAAACCAAATAGAAGGCTCTAGAAAGGGAAATTTGCATTTTCCCGTCTGCCACCCTAATTCCTCTACACGCTTGGCACACGGGAGAAGTGAAAGTTGGTTGCACTATACAACCGCACCAAGATTGGCGCCAAATCCTAAACTCAACTAGACCTTTAACAAGCCAAGCTAGCTGCTCTGTGAGGCTGTGTTTAGTCGTTATGCTTTGAGCTAGATGCTAATGTTGGCACACTAACATGGTCACAATTACGATGCTAACATGGTGATGCTAACCAACCAGGTGTAGCCTAATGTTTACCATGTTCACCAAGTTAGTTTAGCGTGTAGCATGCTACAATGCTAATTAGGTCTAAATACAAATTACAGATGAGGCTGATGGGAATGCCATTCGTTTTGCAGGTATTTGGTTAAAAAAACAAAGTTACATTTTGGCCTGATGATGGCACTAGAGGAAAAACGAGGGGATCCCCAAAGTCATAAGGATGCATTGTCTGGAAACCATCAATTTATATGGAGAATGTTAAAGAAAACCATCCTATAGTTGCAGATATTTTATGCACCAATGTTGTGGACTGATCAATTGACAGACCCTTGATTGATACGATTAGCAAAATTGTACTTCAAATTGTTCTTGAGTAAATTCACTTCCCTGTGCAACTTGACTAGTTCACGACAGTTGACTGTAAATTTCACTTTATACGTATACCTTTACTGTTTTCTGATTGCTTGGCTTCAAACAGCATGACACTGTTAATGATGGCTGCTGTGTGTGTCCAGCAGTGCACTGAAACAATTTTCAAGTTCAAAGGCAAAAGTTATGTGGAATAAAATGTCTGAGTTCCAGTTTAGGGGGTCAATGGAAATATTAGGAAATAGATTCCTTTCCAGTCAATTTTCTATTGTCATTGAGTGCTTTTTGGAATAAAAATGGTTCATATCAAAAGAAAGGTTTATATGTTTTTATTTATCTTCCTGCACATATATTTATAGTATGTTCTCTCCCTTATTTTACTCCTCCTCAGCCTACTGGAATGCCACTCGTGCTTTCATGATCCTCTCTGCCATGTCATGCTTTGCTGGCATCATCGCAGGAATCCTCTCTTTTGCCCACTTCTCGGCCTTTGAGAGGTTCAACCGCTCATTTGCTGCTGGGATCATGTTCTTTGTTTCAAGTGAGTTCTGTATACAGTGGACTCAGATTCATTCGGACACTCTGCTATAGATGAAATGCAACCAAATGGCGTCCATTCATTTTGTTTTTCATATCACATCTGCCATAAATTCCGTTTTGTATTTGTTGAATTTTCATATCATGTAAATCCCAGACATATCAGCAGCTTTATAGCAGGTACCTTGTGACTTCCAACTAAGATGATCTTTACTATCACAAATATTTGTTTTAATATGTGTCACTCTCTGTCCACCACACCAGCTCTTTTTGTTCTGCTTGCAATGGCCATTTACACTGGAGTGACTGTGAACTTCCTGGGCAAGCGCTTTGGTGACTGGCGCTTCTCTTGGTCCTACATACTAGGCTGGGTGGCTCTGCTCATGACCTTCTTTGCAGGTTTGTTAAATAAAAGAGTGCAGTAGAGTTCAGTGTAACTACTTCTTGCTAACAAGAAGCAAAATCAGTTGTGAATATGTGAATATTATACACAGTTATCACAGACCAAGGAAAAAAGTTAACATTCCAAATTCGTTCAACAGTTCTATCAAATCTAAGAAAAACACAAATCATGATAACACCAATACAATGCTTTCACAGGAACACTTTCACACTTTTCATTTTCTTGAATTCCTCAGTTAGTACATCTCATCTCATCAGCTTTGCACTCATTAAAATGTTCACTTTACATGTTCAATCTAACATTTATTCACACTATTGACTTGTACTTGATGTGTCCGTGGTAATTAAACGCCATTTGACCTGTGTTTTGTTTTGCAGGTATATTCTACATGTGTGCCTACAGAATGCATGAGTGCAGAAGAGTGGCTGGCCCACGTTAAAGTAAACAGGAGATAACGTGTCAAGGGTGCAAAGGATATCAATTCCCATTGCAAAATAGAGAATTTACTGTAAAATAATAAAATTTGGAATTTTGCAAATGCACGAAACATGTCCTATGGTTTTCACAGAAAATAATCTATGATTGTTTGGTATGGAAAGCAACTCAATCCCTTTGAGCAGGATTAGATCCCCGTTAGAATCTAAATTTTTTGTAGCCAAGTAACCAGCAAGGTCTAGATTGTCTCGTAAATGAAGTGAACTGCACAGCATTATACATTCTGGTATACATCATGATTCATTAGCTATGTACATATTGTATGGACATGTATTTTACTCTTTGTTAATGCTTGTGGGCTGAATTTCTAATCCTGAAACAGTGAGTGCATGCTGCCTGAAAATTGACTTTTTGCTTGTGCAGCGGAAAGAGGAGGAGGAAAAGTAGAAGATGATGGGATCAATACAGGTGTTGAAGGTGCTAAGCAGCAATGTGTAGTGCCTCCATTTCGGGCTCTCCCCCTGGAAGTAACCAAGTAAATGAGAGAAGTTGTATGGCAGCACACAAATGAGAAAAACAGCTAGAGTCCCCAAGGCCATACCAATGGCCTTCTGCCTCTGCATCCGGGATATCCTGGGGCGGCTGTACAGGATCATAATGCAGCGCAAGTAGCAGAAAACACAAATTAGAAGAGGTGCGAGGCAGAGCACAAAGAAAAACTCCAAGCGTACAGGGAGGAGGATCTCCAACTGCTTCTCAGTAAAGTTCTCATAGCAGACATTGGAGTTCTTGGCGACGGATGGGTGGTGCTGGGTGATGAAAGTGATGCTGCAGTGTGCGGCCGAAATGAGCCAAATAGCAGCACTGATGACTATCGCGTACACAGGTTTGCGCAGCCGATGATAGGCGAAGGGGAAAGCTACACCGATGTAGCGAACCACGCTGACCGCCATCAGCAGCAGGGAGCTGGTGTAGATCGTGGAGAAGAACGTGAAGGAGGTGATGGAGCACAGTAAGATTGGCAAATCCCATTGCATGCCTGACACTGCCTCATGCATCTTGAGAGGCAGGGTGATCAAAAAGAGCAGGTCAGAGACAGTCAGATTGAGCAGCAGGATGTCTGTTGGAAGTGGCCTGGAGTGGATCTTAACGCTGAAGGCGTAGAGAGCCAGGAGGTTGGCCGGCAGGCCTATGAGGAAGGAAATGATGTAAACTGAGAGAATGATCTCACTCCACACCATTGACTCCATTGCCCTAATCCAAAGGAAGTAAACAAACAGCAATCAAAATGATAAAATAACAGAGACAAGGTGGTTCAAATCTACAGATTAATTTGTACCAGTGACAATAATGGTAAATCAGTGAAGTTTTATTTGGTCCAAATAAGAAACATTCAGCTTGTTTCTGATACATAATGGACAGAGGTTATTAGGGAATATAAAACATCTTTTAACAACCTCATAATCTTAAAGTCACACAATTGGAATCTGCCATCAATTCAAAACTGATTGAGAGGTATTAACTGCACATATACAGTCGGTAATAGTCACTAGATAATAACACAATGATTACATTTGGTGCAGTTGTGGGTTTATTTAGTTGTGGGTTTATCAGCAATTTCTCCATGTGGTCAAACACTTTACTGACTTAAAAGAAGTGAAATCACCATCTTTAGGTTTCTCTCAGCAATCTTGTAGATCATTGCAGTACCTCGTGTGTTTGCAGGTGACTTTTATTGTATATGAAATTTAATAAGCCGAGTTAGGAAATGACTTTTCATGACTCCGATCACAAAACAAACAAGAACACCAGATGTAGAATTTCAAAAAGCATCTTCAATGTTAGGTTTGATAAATAAACATATTCACTTACCTACAAGTAGAAGTTTTCAAAATATTAAGGATAAAAAAGCGTTTTTAACTCCTGAGTTCAAAGATGAGCTGATATAAAGTGTTATAAGACGGTTCCAGCCCCAGTACGACTCGCTGCTCTCCCCTTTTTTATACTGAACATTTTGCACACACCAATTGGTTAATATTTCCTGAAATGCAAAACTCACGCTCATGTTGACTTTCATATTGGGTATGTTGATAAAGCACTTCCTCCCACTAGGTCTCTGCAGGAATAAACTCTGATATAATTAAGTTTGGATTTCACCAAGCAATGAGCCTGCATTTATTCAAAGTTACGCCTACACCACAAACTCAGAGCATCAATTCAGATAATAAAATGATTCTTCCACACAGACATTCAATTTAGCACGTCCTTTTTTTTTCCATAGTGACATCATTGCTAGAAAGAAATCGGAGAAATCTTTCAGCACCAGAACGTAGAATATTAGACGTGTAGTCCGACCCGACAGCAGATCTGTTTTCTGTTGCTTGGGAACAGCTTGCATGTTGATTTCCTCTTACACTATTTGCATTAGCATCAGTTACCACTGCAGCGGAAACAAACATGGACCCCTTTATGTTTAAAAGTGTCACAGGCACTACTGTGTATGTACATTTGTTTACAAGTCAATACGAATGAAAAGTTCAAATCTGAAAATATACAGTATACTGTATATACAACTCAACTCTGACGAAACTGTTTAATAGGAAACTACGCAGCACACAAATGTGGCACCAATCAGTTGTTTTAAACAGTTGTGAACCACGGCCTAGATTTGATCATCAGTCACATTCACTGCACCTTGGCCTGTGGCTGTGTTGTGCCTTCTCTCTGGGGGGCTGCTGCTTATATCTGCTGTAACCCTCTGCTCATTTCGTCCACAAATTCATTGTCATAAACACAGGAAAGTCTGTCCACCTCAGGGTTACTCCCGCGTCTGCATGGTCTCGATTGGGCGTCCTCGTCTTGTGATCTGATGGCAATATTATATTAGTACATACATAAAGACAAATGTGTGTGCTGATATTGAGAATAAATGAGTTTACTTACATTTGTCCTTGTCGGACATTGTCTGGTGAACTTTGTAGCCTTAAAAAGAAAAAAAGATGCCATTTGAATTCAGCAAAAAGTATAAATTCCAGTTTCATCCCTGAAAAGGCCAGTGTTGCACATAAAGCCCGATGTCGGTGCTCTATGGGTAATATGATAACCATAAAACAAATATGAATCATAGCAGTGCAGGCATTATGTTTGACAGAGAGTGAAGTCTACCAACCTGTTTCCAGAATGTTTTCTGTAAATGAAAATCGCACACCCAAACAGCAAACCAATCACTGGGAGCATTAAAGCTGACAGCCACAAAGAGGCTGCAAATGGAAAAGAGCTTCATTAGTACATATGATCTAGTCTGCTTTTGAGTGTATAGTTTGGGAAACGGCAAACAGTAACTTACATGTTTTGGAGAAGTGTACAGACAGCTGTTTGGTGTCGCTGCCCAGGGAGTTTGTGGCTGTGCAAGATATGTTAGATTGGCTTTGAGCTGGCCCATACATTTCCCCAGAGACGACTTTTTTTGTATTTGCGGAAACAATGCTGAAGGAGGATGGAAGAGTGTCATTTCCATCAATGGTCCAGTGTATAGCAGCATTAGGGGAGGCCTTAGCCTGGCAGACACACTTTAGAACTTCCCCTGTCAGGTGACAGGAGGACTCGGGCAGGATTACTGGGGCATCTGGAAAGATGGAAAGTTATTCAAAGTAATCAAACCTCTCTGACATCTTGAATTTACTGCAGCGGTGGATTATAACTAATATTGGGATGTTCTTGTTCTTTACGCGAGTATTTCCATTTTATGTTATTTTCATACTTCAACCCCACTACATTTCAGAGGGAAATATTTCACTTTTTACTCCACTACATTAATCTGAAAGCTTTAGTTACTGCAAATTCAGCTTGTTTATACAAAAAATGCAATCACTATTAAATGTTGATGTATTTCTATGGATTAAGCAACCAAACAGTAAATAAAGTAATTAAATTGTAAAAAAATGTATCATCTGCATAATGAGTATACCTTTGTATAATTTGATGCAAATACTTTTGTGCTTTTGAAAGCGGGACTTTTCCTTGGAACAGAGTATTTTTCACTGTAGGATTTTCCTCCTCTCACTTTATTTCAGCACAGAGAACCTACGCCTCACATTTTGTAAGCAGTGGCGATGGAAGGGCCTAACTTTAGTCATGTAAGATTTCATAAAGTTATTGTCCCGGCATTATGAAGTTTAGAGTTCCAAGATTAAGATTAGAGTAAAGTTTTTATCATTACCTTCTATGTATATATTATTATTTTTTTTATTACAATTTCTGAAGCCACTACATAAATTGATGGTTCTCATCGAGACAAAAACCCTGCCCTAAAAAATAGAAAATGTTCAGACAATAAACTTCAGCTAGACATACAGTAAGTGCCATCTTTGAGCAATGTTTGGCTACAGAGCATGCTTTTGTAATGGCTGACCCACATGCAAGGTGCTGCTGCTTGTTAAGTGTTAAACTTCTCTGGTGGTGTGAATGTTTATCTCTGTATTCCCGCATTAAATTAAGATTATATCAGTAAATTCGGAGGAAATAGAGGATAGTTGTTGTTTTTTTACATTGAACATCCAGATCCACCCAGTGGGACTTCCCTGTGCCGATGTCGTTGTAGGCAATGCAGGAGATAGACGTATCTCTCATGATGTTGTTGAAGGGCCTTTTTCTCTCGGTTGAAGTTATTTCGTTGTTCTGACCCATCTGTCTTTTGAGCCATATGTACGTGTGCGGTTGTGGGTTACAGTCAGCCGCACACTCCATGGTGACACTGCCATCCTCCACTATCGGCCCCTTTTCCAGTGTCAGGGTCACAACCACAGGTTCATCTGTGGATACAGGAAATTATAACATACAGTAAAATAGTAAAACCTGGCAAGAAAATGTAGTTTCTGTCATTCATTGTGTTTTGAACGGGTAAACAACTGTATCACTTACATAAAATGTTGAGTGCTATTTGTTGACTTTCTGTGGTGAAGGTTCTGAACTTCGCAGAACACCACATTTTGCTGTTATGCATTTCATATGTGGCTAGTCCGTGAAGGGTCTTTGTGTACGACCATTGGCCCTGCACGTTCTCACTGAAGGCCATTGAAGTGGATTTTTTTCGAAATGGACTTGAGTTCCAGTGAAGGGATGGATGTGAGAAAGGGCAGGAGTACTTAATGCTGCAGGTAGCCTGGAACATTTTCCCATCCACCATTTGCTTCTGAATGGAGATTATGGGAGCTGTTTTCTCTGGAAGTCAAAGCAAAGTGATAACGGAATGAAAATAGGAAAATATTAAAAAAATGAATTTCTAGATTAACAACCGTGTACATAAATATGCTATGTGAAGATTACATTGACCACAGCCTGTTGAGGTGAAGTGTTCAGGATTAGTAACTGTGTAGCTCTCAAGTGTAGTCAGCATCTTAATAATGTGGAAATGCATGTTCAAGTATTAATGGCCCATAATGGCAATAGAACTGTCTTGTTAAGATGGTTTAGCTGCAGTGAACTGAGGTGCAGTAGTGTTTCCTGGACGCTGTAATAAAATGTTCAGAGTTAGGAAGAATTGCCGTTTTTTTCATGGTACTCTTGCATCGTACAGTATATTTTGTATTAACCTGAAAACCGCTGAATTTTGAATTTTTTTGCATTCGAGCTTGGATTTCCTAAATTCAGTTCAAGTTTACAAATACTTACTTACCAACAATGATAGTTACAGTTTGGTGATAGAATTGCTGAGCTGGTTTAGAGTCTGGGTTGATCCAAACATAAACGATAAGGTTGTTGTCTGCTTTCTTCACATTATTAATCGTCAGGGTGCAGTTGCCCTCTGCAGCTTTACCCAGTACTGAGGTGCGTCCTCTGAACCGGTCGTCCACTTTAGTTGGGTTGCGCCCGTCATACACCACAGGATAATGTATGTTAAGGTACTGGTACCAGGTGACCCGAGAATGAGATTGTGTCTGACATGGCACCACAACACAGTTCCCCTCCACAGCGGTAACTGTTGTGGGCACAGTGATGCTCCAGCTTCTCACCTGCTGGAGCATTGACAGGCCTTTGTGGGATCAGAGGAGGGGGGCGAGAGGGGAAGTACAGGAGACAACATTAGTTGTGGTTGTTCTGTTTTTGTGATGCTACTTTTGGAGACGAATGAGAAATTGAAATAAGTGACATGACTGAATGTTCTTCTGCACAGAAAGATGTTGCTATCCGAGTCGATTAACCACAAAGCTGAGTTGGCTGCAGTGTTTAGAGCTGTTAGAACATACCAGAGCGACTTCTCGAAAACAACGTTATTGCTTTGTACCATATTGGATGCCACAGACACAGGATTGTCAGTTTTCTTCTTAAAACACATTAGGACCATACATCACCTTTTTTCTTATATGCATTGCAAATATAGTGTTTATGTATGGCAGTACTTTTTACAATATCAGGAAAGCTGTAAATACTTTTTTATTGAGTATAAAATATTATCCAGCAACGTACGTTACACAACTTTTGGTTTCAGGTCGTGACAAGTAGGCCGAAGTCCACTCAAAAGAAAGGGTACTACAACAGTGTTCTAATAATAATCGTAGTAAAAATGAAGGGTCAGTCATTTCTATATTAATTTGTTTTATTTAGGCCAAACTCTCAGAAATTAGGTATCGTAAGATGACTCTAATATTTAAAATATTAGCTTATTGCATTATCTTCTTATGTTTAAGATGTTACTCAGAAACAAAAACAGAGATACAAACACATGAAGTAAAATATTACCAGTAAACAAGCTTAGCAGCCGAGGCAGATGAGCAGTCCCCATGAAGAGAGTATACTCGCTGTTAGTGAGTCACCTTTTGATCTCCTTGATTTCAGAAACACAGCAACTGGAACAAATGTTACTCAAATTAGGTTTTTGACATTCAAAGGCCTCAAATACTTCTTTTATTTGAGAATTTTAAAAAAAGTCGCTGGATTCATATTTTTCCTTTGAGTGATATTTATAAGAGCGCTTACCTTGCCAGATGAGCTGCTGCCTGAATGTGTCTCCAATGGCCCACTAATGTGTTACTGTGCACAAGTCTACCTTTTTACCTCAACCCTAATCCCCTCCTCACCCCCTCTGTTCTGTTCAGTTTCAAACAGGAAACTTGCTGAGCTCATTTAAAGCAGTCAGCCTGAATGGTGAGATCGCCTGAAAGAGAGGCTCTCTTCTCCTGTTTTCTAAAATCTGGCATACTAGACACTTCACACCTCTTGTTGTACAGTACAAGTTTAAACCACAGTAGCAAGGGCAAGCTTTAAAATGTGTGTTTAATACAAAATTGAAGATCGATGGAAACGTTCGGCTTACATACATGACATGGTCCTAAAGAAGAATGTAGACTGTTACTTTTGCAAAAACAAAACAAAAATACATATTCACGATTGCACTTTCTTTGTGCTCAAATAGCTACAAACACTTCAGTTTGAACAAAAAAAGAAATGTTAACAATAATACAATTACACAAAACATGGCACACTGCTAAATAAATGTGAAACAGCAGAGCTTCTCCTTCAATTTACACATGGCAACATCATTATATGAGTGGAAAATAAAGGTGAATATACAGCATTTTATATGATCAAGCATTAAGTAAAAACTGTTCATCATCAATATTATCATTGTTATTATGCACTTTAATGCGATCAAAATATCTTCAGTGACAAAAAGTCTGTCAAGATCTTAAAAACTCCATAAACTTAAAAACAAAGGAACATAATACCATAATCAAAATGTCCATATCATAGCTGACGAACAAGAAAACATACATTTAAGAGAGGAAGACATAAGAAATATTTTTCAAAACTTGACACAGCAATATAGATCTGTGATCTATTTATGCATAGCACGCTTGTCTTTAAATTTAACCTGAGCATATTCACTTTCCACCTCTTTCTGCACATCTCTGGGCTCCATGTTGTCGTACAGACCTCCCATCTCCAGTGCGTTGCTCACAAACCCTCTGAGCGTGCCTCCCTCCATGCATATCTCCTCCTGCAGATAGGAGCTACCAGGCTGATGCACGTCCACCGAGTCTTCTGCCTTCTTCTTCTTTCTCTTGGGCCTACAGTTCACAGTAGAGTAGATCACGTCTTTGCCTTCGTCGTTCGCCTTCTCTGAGCTTTTGCGGGCTCCTTCTGCGTTGTTTGGTCCAGAGCTGGGCAAGGTGGTGCTGTTCGGCCCGGAGATAGTTGCAGGGTGGGCGACATCTGCGCAAGTCAGTGCATCGTTGTTGACATAAATGTCCTCTTCTGCTGTGTTTAGTTTGACCTATGCAATTAAAGAGAAAACATCAGTGGCACACATACTCCGCTAATCCGCTTTTAGTACTTAAAGTAGAACACTGCCTGGCTCTAAGAGTACCTCATTTCCTTCTCCACTTGCTAGAATATGGCTCATAGTAACTGGGCCGGTGTCACCGGTGCACTGACTCGTCAGCCGTTTATGGTGAGTCTTCTGAGCCCTGCAAAATACAGTAGAGCATTTACCTTACAGTTACATCATGTGTATATTTGATTCATCATTGTTTTCTCATGTATTAATCAACAGGACGATACCTTTGATCACAGGGAAAGCTAAAATAAAATAGTCTCACGGGAATGAATTTAAACTCTGTTGTAACTTTCTCAACATAATACCGTCGCAAACAGCATTTTAGTGTTTATGAAGAGAAATAAAACAACTGACAGAGCTTTCAAGAAGCAGAGTCATATGTGGTCCAATTGCATTTGGGTTAGAACAAATATTAAGAACATCCCCAATAATATGTTAGCAGAGAATAGTCTTGAAAATCAACATGTGGCAATTACAGTCAACAGGGATACAGTGGTGCTGATTGAGATGAAACCCATTATATGTGTTGGCTCTGGATTTATCTAATACAAAGGCAAAGTTCATTATCTACACTATTTTGTCTGTAGTCAACAGATGTTCAGTGTTAATAGATAACAAATTTAATTGCAGTGGCAATTTGATGACAATAATTTATTGCTTGTGGACCTCAGGACCTGGTCCACTCATACTGTAACTCAAACATGTAATGTTACATTAGTTCTGATGGATGAAGACCCAAACAAACGCTGCATAGTGTCAGTATTGTATACATGGTCCAAGTAAAAGTTACAATGACTGTATAAATAGCTGTTACCCTACCTGTTAACAAACAGCAGAACACATACTAGTACAAGTAGAGCGACAACGATGCCGATGAAAACTGGCAACATCACTCGGTCTGAAAGATTAGGATAAAGAAGTAACTCAGACAAGAGAGATAATTGTTGTGGTAAAACCTTGGAATGCCGTACAAATAATTCAGCTTGATGTGTTGTAAGGCCTACTTCAGTTCATATGAAACACAAAGTAAATACCTTTCTTTTAGCACGAAAGAAGTGTGGTTTGAGTCATTTCAAAAGTTATGTAAACATACTAAATAGGAGGAAGTGGGGTGTTTTAACACCTCCAATAGTCACACCAGATATTTCCACACACTCTCACCCAACACTCAATTTTGAAATGTGTGAAATTTATCAAAAAACCAGTCTTTTCTAGTGAGGCTCTCTCCTTCTCTCTCTGTTTGTGGTCCCGGCCCATTTGTAATAATAAATGATAATAAATAGTGCCTTTATTCTGTGTGAGCGAGTAAGCCTGTCCCACTAGCTGCTGTGTTCTGCAATAAGATGACGTACTTTCAAGTCTTGCACCTCTTGAAAAAAAGGAAGAAATGGGTGGCACCACAAACCTCGCAAGAACGGAAGATCGTGAAGGTTAGTCAGAAGCATTAACATATTATTTTTGATGAAGTACATTTGGATGCACGTGAAGATTGATGTGTTTTTTGGGGGGTGTATTAAACACAAAAGCTTAATTATAATGGCTCTGTTTTGAGGTATTACATCATGTATAATGTAGTTTATAAAAGTATTATAGAAGAGAATATTTAATGAATATAAAATCCAAGAAATAGCTTCAGTGAATAATTTACAGTATTTTTGTTGTTTTAGTATTTCTTTTGTTTTAGATTCATCATTATTTAGTCTTAGTAGTATCAGTGTAGGTTGAAACAGACTGCGATGTTGTTGTAAATGCTTGACTGTTATTTGTAATAAATGAGTTTGTTTTTCTGTTGTGCAAATCTATCACAGACTTGATGGATCAATATCCTAGAAGCTGAAACCAAGAGTGAGTCATGTCCCCTCCACGTGTCTCCCCTCCACTACAAGGCAGTCAGTCTAAAATTCTACAAATCAAAAGCACTAAATAGAGGTATTATATATAACAGATATAGAGAATGTGGCACTGGGTTCCAGATCAAGTTAATTTCAAGTAATCCTGATAGTTTCCAACTTTTCAGTAAGACTTGTTTTCAGCACAGAATACAGACCTTGACTTTGAGCAGATGTCTGAGGCTCAAGGCTGTTGACACAAAATCTTTGAGTAGCAGATCCCAGAGAGTTGGAGCTGCGGCAGAGCAAGGTGGAAAGATCCCTCTCCTGTGGTCCATTCACAGTGATGATGCTCCACAGACCTGTGTCATTTAGAGGCTCATTGCTTATTACAAACTTGTCGGAGTGATTGACAGGTGACCCATCCAAATACCAGAGTAAAGTGGGAGAAGGATTTCCCACAGTCCTGCAGGAACAGTTGAGCTGGTCTGCAGCTTTGATGCAGTCAGATGAGGACAGGATCTGAGGAGCAACTGCAATGCATTTAGAGAAGACAGGCAAGTTTAGACTCAAGTAATTTAGGTTAGGTTAGATTTACCTGTAAGTTAACTAGTAACATTTGTTAATTTGCCTATGTATTTATATCATTTTGTCACATTTCTTCTTCTGTACCGATGAGGGGCTCCGGTAACATTAACTAAATTTGGCAAATTTATATCAATAAATAGTGAATAAAATAGATATTATATAAATTAAAAAGCGATCACAGCATCAAGGAAGAAGCCAAATAAATAAGTAGATTACATTAAGAGCTTTATGAATACCTAAATAAAACATTTGATGGATAGATTCATAACTTGATAGTCGAACTTTCGAATCGATTTCAATCAATTTCCTGAAATATGGCTTTAAGTAACACAAAACCTTTAAAATGTGATCCTTACATTGAACATCTATTTGACTGAG